ATTTTCAATAGAAACTAGACCAAAAATACGTGGTAAGATTCTGTGCTTTTGCAGTTTTTTGTTGTTGTTTTACATTTAACCACTAGTTGGCAGCAGAGTTCATGTAGAGCTGTAAACTGAGTCACTTTGCTGTATTTTTGTTGCTCCATTGCTTAGAAATTACATTTCACAACAAAAAATCCTCTAATAATCCACACAAATTAATCGTTCTGCTCTACATATTCTTGGTAGATTAGGAAATGCTGTGATGAGAAAAAAGGGCTGACAGTTCAGACTATAACAGAAACAGTTCTTCTCTAGATGAACTATACGGTTCCTACTGAAAGTTCTGGATCTGTTTTGGGGTCAGAGGGATCAATCCGATCAGATCTGATAGATTTCCACCTTCTTCCTCAACAAAACAATCGTTGTGTTTGTTCCTTAACTGGGTTGGAGCGTTTTAGAGTTGCCTTTGTTCCTCTGGTCCTTCCTGTTTTTCTACCAACATGAATTTATTCCCGTCTTCTCTGTTTGTTTTAGTAACTGCAGGGCGACAGCAGATCTACCAGAGCAGCTGTAATGAATGTAAGGTTCCTTATTGTAGAACCGCTTTTATCTCAAACTGCTCTCTCAATTTGGCACTCACTATCAGTTTAAAGTTTAAGACCAGATTCAATATGTTGAAAAAAACAAACTGAACTCCGGCTGAGTCAGAAACATTCAGAAGAAAATTAGGGTCACCAGAAAAAAGAAGAAACCAACATTAATCTCGGATTTCTAACTTTAATCTCATATTTCTGACTTTAATTTTAATATTCTGACTTTAATAAGAATTCTGGAATTTGTCCACATTATTGTGTCTGTCACTAACTAACTAACTAACTAACTAACTAACTAACTAACTAACTAACTAACTAACGTCTACTTTTTCTGTTTATTTGGTTTATTTTGGGTTCAAATGAAAATTTAAAACAAAGACAATAAAGTAAAAACAGGATTTATTTAATAAAAAAACAAAAAATAAGTTAAAAACAAGAATTTAAATGTCTCCTTTTAATAGAAATATTTATAATATTTTTACCTTTTCCCACTTTTTCTATCTGACAACGAAAATTCATCAAATCCCCTTCCTATAAAAACACTGTGTCCTCATGATGCCCTAATAATCTGTTAATCTGCGTTTAATCTGCAGACGTCTGGAAGTTTTGTTGGTGAAATTGTCTTCAGAAGCTCCTGCAGGTGAAGCTAAACTTTGAGGGAAGTTCAACATCTGCAGCAGCAGGATTATTCCAAATGGATTAGGATCCTGAATCAGTGGAGATGTTGGGACGTTTCTAAAAATAAAAAAAATAAAATAAAAATAAAATAAAATAAAATAAAATAATAAAATAAAAAGTTTTCCTTGAATAAAAATCCATTATTCCACCCAAAATTGACCGGATTATTTTAATTGAACCTGGATCTGAGTCACAGCATCAGATCCAGGTTTATCTGCAGGATGTGGAGGATCTCATGGATTCATCCAGATCAGTTTAAGTCCTAAAAGTCCCCTCCTGCAGCTTCCTGCTGATTTTTCCGGGATTATTCCACGTATTTGGGAACGCAGCCCTCCACCTCCACCATCTCAGGCCAGTTGTCGTACTTGTTTTTGGAATCGTCGCTCTTCATGTGCTGGAACACACGAATGGATCAGATTTTAGTTTCACAGCAAATTAATTAGTCAGCAAATCTGGGTTAAATTAGTTTAATTTGATGACTTTACCTTCTCAAAGTTGCTTTTCCCTGTCGTTCCTTTCCCACCAACAAACACCCAGTTATCCCGATATCCTAGGGAATGGATGGTGGAGCTTCCCAGGTCCGAGATCAGAGTCCGGGCCTCCTCATTTAACCTGACGGGACAAAAACATTGGATGATGGGTCTGATACAGGAATACAGGAATAAATAAATAAATAAATAAATAAATAAATAAATAAATAAATAAATAAATAAAGATTTATAAAAATTATTGTTTATGTAAAAATTTATATAAATTGAAATATGAAACTGTATATAATTGCTTATTATAAAAACAGTTATACAGTAATATATTAATTAATGCATTAATTAATAAATTAATAAATGTTGGTAAGTAAATTAATTAATTATATTAATTTAAAAAAAGAATGATATTGATTAATAAATATTAGTGAAAAAATAATAAGTAAAGAGGAATACAGATAATATGAAAAGAAATTGACTGAATACAAATAATTATGTAATAAATAAAAACTAAAAATAAATCAATATGTAAATAAATAAATAGGAAAATATTTGCTGGTAAATAAAATGATTGAAATAAATGGATAAAACAATAAGTAGAAGTGAATAAATAAAAATTTATAAATTAATAATTGGAAACTATAAGTAAACGAATAAATTCATCATTATTCTGAAATAAACCAAATTTCTTTATGTATCTGATAAATAATCTGACAGTAAAAATCTTTAATTATGAGATTTCTGATGTGATTTGTGGATAAATTTATGAAGAAAGTTTGATTACAGCTTTACTGTATTTATGTGATCAAGTTAAAATTCATGTCAAATTTTCATTTTGATGAAGTTAAAACGATCTGGGATCAAATTATTTCTGGTATTTTTTCAGAAGCTCAGGAGAAACTATCTTTTCTCCTCGGAGGAGATTTAAGTTTTTCTCCGTAAACATGAAGCGTCTTCAGGGAGAACTGACTTTGTGGATCCCTCGTCGTACACAGCCATCAGAACCACAGAACCCGTCTCGACGCCCTTCAGGAACTCGATGAGCGGCTCCACACCTGCAACACAAACCTCAGCATCAGGATCCGTTCGGATCCGACAGAATCCGGCCTCATGACGGCGACTTACTGCCGCTGTACATGTTGAAGTGATCCGTCTTCATGACGTCTCCGGATTTACCTGCCGGACACAAACCAGGTGAGATCAGCCTGGAGCTCAGGGCGGGTTCTACTGTTACCGCTTATTATTAGAAAATACTGAAAATAATTTTATTTAGCTTCTCATTTGTATGAAAAACTGAAACAGAATATAGGGTCACTTAGAGAACAAACAAAAGATGTGAAATAATTATTTTTTATGTATTTTTCTTCCTGTGTTGATCACCTGTTTTAAGATTGGAGTCAAAATGATGACGAAAATGTTGAACTCATAAGAAAAATATCTAAATAATTGAAAATTAAAACTTAAAATGTTGAGAAAAAGAGAGTAATTACAATGATGAAGAAAAAAAATTGTCAAAAATGTTCAACTTTTGAAATTCTGAAATTTCTTAGTTTTTCCTAAATGATTTATAAGATTAAATCTTAAAATTTCAGATTTCTTCTAGCAAATTTTAAACTTTTGAAACTCAGAAATTTCCAAGAATTTTCAATAAGATTTCTAAAATTTATCTACATTTTTTTTTCAAGCAATTATTTTTACTTTTCAAGCTCAGAAATTTCGAATTTTTATTCAGAAAATGTCTGAGGTTAGTCGAAAAATGTCTGAATTTTTTTTGGCAGAAATTTACTTTTCCTTTTTTTGTTTCTCTCTACAATGGCCCTGACACGCACATCGTAAAAACAGCTGCTTTTATGATGAAAAAAGTTTTAGAAGTAAATAAAAAATACAAGTTAAGTTAAATAAATGCAAAATGAGTTACAATTACTCTCTAAATTAAAATGTAAAAACCCAGATTTAATCCCAGACACTCACCGTTTACCACCACGATGTTGATGCCGCTGCCAGCGTTGTTCATAACGGTTCCTAAAGCCCTGAAGCAACAAAACGCTGAGTCAACAAACATCATCTGATCAACAACATGACTGAAATGAAGCAGAAGGTCCAGAGAGACAGAAAACAGGCTGAAAAACCAGGAAAAGGTCCAAACAGACAGAATTAAACGTCTATAAAGAGACAAACAGCCGACAGAAAGAAGAGAACGGAGATCCTACAGGTTGTTGTTGACGCAGATCTTTGGAGGAACAACGTTTGCAGCTCCGCTCTGGACGAAGAAGCCGATGTGATTCGCTGGACAGACGTTCTTCCTGAAGCATGGCCCTTCTGCAGGAAAAAACACAAATCAGGTCCCAACAAACCCAGGAGATCCGGTCCGTTCTGACCGGGTCCAGACTCACCTGCGTTGGCGTCCATCCTGGAGATCCGACCATTTTTAATTATATCTGCAAGAGAAGAAACCATTCAGTAAAAATAAAATAAAATCTCTGATTTTATTCAAACCAGGCCAGATTTTAATCGGTTTTTGTTTGCTTTCTTTTCTAAAAAAAAAAAGAAAAAAATTAAAAATTACAGAAAATATTTTCAAAAAAATGTCTTTTTTTTCTCCAAACATCCCTTCTGTGAGTTGGACAACAGAGTACTGAGGCATATGATGATTTTTGTTTTATTATGAGAGAGTGATCATAATATTCACGAACAATTTTAGCAGAAAAAAGATTAAGTGTTTCTATTGAGTATTATCTGTAAAACTTATACCAAAGTATAACTACACGAGATGCTCAACACTTCTCATTTAATTTGCATTTTTCATGTTGGAGTTCTCATAAATTACTACTTTATTTTTCTGATATTATGACTGTATTCTGGTAAAATTATGACTTTATTCTTGTAATTAAAAAAAATAAAAAATTTGATCCCTAGTATTCCTTGTAGAGTTGATCTGAATTAAAAGTCCAAATAAATCGAAGATGAAAAACCTTCTTGTCAAACAAGATGGCGGATCTGGGTGCAGTGACATCATCACACATAACCACATTGGTGAAAAAAAATCCAGATTTTTCAGAAATTTAATTTTCAAAAACAAAAAATTTCATTAATTGATAAAATCAGTTTATCGTCCAGGAAACCTGAAATGAGTCACTTTTATGGAGAAAACAAGAACGTCTGCAGGACTTCATCATCATCATCATCATCACTGTGACACAGAAACGGTCTCCACCAGCAGAATCTGGAGGTTCTGACCTGTGGTCGGGTCGTTGTAGAGCTTCAGGAAGATGACGACGATGAACAGCAGGAGGATGAAGAACAGCAGCGCCTGGAGAAACCCTGACAGACAAAAACATCAATGAAAAAAAATCAGCTTTAGAGAAACAACAGGAGAGTAAGGATGAAGATTTCTGATCAGGTTCTGATCCGGTCAGGTTATTTCTGCAGCAGGAACGATACAACCGGGACGGTCACCACAAAAAACACTAAATCTTACCAAGTATGTTTGTTTAGCTTCTGGAGGAAGTATCTTAGTACACTAGAAATAAGACAAGTCTTTAGCAAAATATAAAGGATTTTTATTAAGCAATAATACTTTAATACTGACGAAAAATATTATTTAACTTATAAAAAGACATTTTCCCATAAGTGAAACAATCTTTTTCAGCAATAATAAGGAATTGTTTACTTAAAACAAGCTCCTATATCTCGCAAAAAGTTACTTATAAGTTATTTTTGTCTTATTTCAAGTATATTAAGATGTTTGCACCAGAATAGTGAAAAAAACTTGGTAGGGATTTTGTGTTTTTGCAGTTTTATCAAACTAATAAAATCAGAAAGGTTTGAAACTTACATCTGATGACGTTGCATTGATTCCCAATGTTTTTTTTCCCTGAAATATAAAAAGTGATGCTGTGAATGTTGAGTTTTTCAGGACAAATAGGTCAGACAGGTGAGAGGATGAATCATCGTCTGCGGCAGGTAAATCCTCCGAGTGTTTTCAGGATTATACCAAAGATTAAAGGATTTAAAACGAGTTTCAGCACAAACTCAGAAAAACTGACTGGATTAGAGTTAAAACACATCAATAATCTGTGAACAAATCAGCTTCGGCCCAAGATTACTGTCCAAACATTTTCACAAGTCGACAATTCAAACTGATTTTTACAATCAGATGTAAAATAGTGACTTTCTGCAAATAACTAATGATAAGGGAAAAGCAGGAGCGTCTTGAAGAGAGAGTGAGGATCGAACACAGAGGATGGCTGCAGGGGTTTACTCAGAGGCTCTGTACGGACAGAGTCATTTTTATGCTTTGTTTCATGTTCAGATATAAATAAAGCTAATAAAATAAATAGAGTAAAATAAGTGCCAAGCACTTCCTGAACAGACATGAGGAGAAATAAACTGAAACTTTACCGGACGGTTCTGTTTGGGATTTCCTGGGTTTCCTGTTCCACCAGGATTCACATGAATCAAAATGAGGAAATAAAAATGTGAACCATCCAGTTCTTACCGGAAATAATGATGGTGGAACTTTTATGACCGTATGAAGAAAGATTGATCATGAAATCAACAAAATTACGGCTAGTTCTGAGCTTTTATGAGGCTGTCAGACTGTCTTCTCTGCTCTTCTGGTTAGCGGAGTTGTTCTCATTTGGTCGCCACGGCAACGGGGCTTCGTTAGGCAAGAAAAAGGACGTTTTGAGTTGTTATTTGTTTTTTAGCATCATTTTCCTGTTGTGGCGCATTGCAGCCATTGTAATTCCTTAAAGTTCAATAAAGGACAGAAGCTGGACTTATTGACTCTTTAGTTCATAGAAAGTCTCGATTCATAACAATCTTTAAATAGGATAAAATATTTAATAAAATCTATAACAAACTAATACAACAGTAATTTTGTCAAATTTACTTAATTATCCAATAAAAGAAAAATTCTTTTAGTAATTTCTTGCATTTTGACAGAAATTAGAGAAACCAAACTGTTTATAAACATATATGTAGGTAGAACATATATTTTTACGTTAACCTTAGTAATTTTCTCAGCTTTGATTTAAGGCACATATTTTCTAGAAATCAGATAAGAAATAAGGACACTGTGATCATTTTGTGACAAATTTGTGCTCTTCTCACACAGAACAGCATTAAAAAAAAAAAAACCTCTCCAGATTGTTTGAAGTTTTATCTTCATTTTTTCTCTGTCAGAAATGAAACATTAGAAACTGTTTTCTTCTGGATGCTGTGAGGAAAACTTCATCAGGATCCACAAGATGTCAACATCTTTCCATCGCTGATGCAACAAAGATTATTTGCTGATCAGCATCCAGAAGGTTTCAAAAACAAAGCAGCAAAACCACTGAAATACTTTATGTACTTTAACAGAAGAAACGCAGTGAGCCCTGGGAGACAAGAAGCCGGGCTTTCTGGTTGGTTTAGTCTTTAGATTTACTGGCATGTCTTCTTATTCACTCCTCTTTCTCTTAAAGATCTGAACTTTACTCCCTGAGACTGTAGGAAGATAAGATTAGACATTTTAAATGAAACTCTGGTTCATGATTCACTTTAAAACATCGGAAATTAAAATCTTTAGCAGGTGAAATGAATCAAATCCAGACTGTCGGAAAGAAATACCTGAAATATTAACTGTTAAACAGGTGAGGCAGGATTGTACCTGAATCACGAGCTACACCTGGACAGGTAAACTAGCTGCATTATTAACACCTGAACAGGTAATTCTGCTCTAATACTAACAACTAACACCTGTACAGGATATTTACTCTACTATTAACACCTATAAAATTATTTCTACTCTATTATTAACGCCTGTATACTTCTGCTTTACTGATAACAGCTAATATCTGTACAGGTAACTTTGCTCTATTACTAAAACCTGTACAGGTATGTTTTCTCTATTGCTAACAACAAACACCTGTACAGATAATTTGCTCTACTGTAAACACCTGTACAGGTAAGCCAGCAGACCTTCAAACAGAGCAGAGAAATAAATCAAAATCATGAAGAAATAAGGTAAAACTGACCGACTCTGAAGGTGAACATGTTTCTTATGTCCGGCTGCCGTTCACTGTGAGCGGCCTCAGGTGGAATCCAGGAGGAACAGGTTGAACTTGCTCCGCCCCCTGCTGCCTAGCAACAGCCAATCAGCAGCTGCAGTGTCACAGTCCGGCTGCAGACGCCAGAGGAGTTTCCTGAATAATTACATTCAAATCAACTATAGAGTTAGGAAAGTTTTATATATTAATTTACAGAAGGAGTTTATTTTTAGTTTGGATCGGTTCTTTGACTTTCATAATTAGTGATCTATCAAAATTTAACACTTTAATACTGTAAAAATAACCCTTTTTATTTACTTATGTTTATTAGTCATGATTATTTTGTGTTATTTGTTTCAAAATCAATGTAAACCATCTTTGTTGTTATTAATCCAAACAGTGTGCAGGTTTAAACCCCACAGAGGACCTGAAGTTTGAGGAAACCACACGGTTGTTCAGTTTGAAACGGATCTGAACGTCAACCTGAAGTTTCAGGTTCATGGCCTGTTAAGAAGTTGTTCGTCTGGGTCTGCAGCTGATTGTTCTGGTCAAACCGCCCTGTGGTGTGCTCAGGGAGTGTCTCAGCATCCACGTTTGTCTTTTCCTGAGCCTGTTTTTCTCGTTTCCTTCAGGCTGTGAAAGCTTCAATTCATCCATCATCATGTCAGATATTCATTTTCACCTGACTCAAAATACTTATCAGGCATAATTCTGACGCGGTTGACTTAAACATCCTGATAAACAGACTATTCTCTTATAAAAAGACGTTTGTTTCTGTAAGCACTGAATCTTTTAAATATGGTGTTTCACAAGGCTCAGTTTTAGGTCCTTTTCTTTTGATACCTACATTCAGCCTTTGGGAAACACCGTCAGAAGAAAACAGCATTTACCTTTGTGAATACGGCAGCTGATGACACATTTAAATCGGAGCTGCTTCAATATCCTATAAACAATTATTACTTTTATGTTTTTTATTACTTTGTGTAATAAAAATTTTAGTCACTGGTAGTTGTTTTTAAATGGGATTATAAACTAATAAGGATTTGTTGTGAATTTCATAAAATATTTTTTGTTTAAAAATGTTATTTTACTTTATTACGGAACTTATCACTTATATTTAATCATGTTAAATATATTTTTGCTCAAATCCATTTTTAAGATCCTAATAGATTTTAGAATGTAACCTTGCTCTTTTTTTTCCATCCATTCTTAAATGCAAAATGTATTTTATATAATTGACTTGTATACTACTCTTAGATTTTTTCACCAATTGGTCTTTAGTCTTTATACTCCACGATTGATTGATTACTAATAACTAATTCATCACTACTATTTGTTTCAGTCATACTCCGTATACAGGGCCGGATTTAGAAGGATCTGGGGCCCTGGGCTACAGCTTTGGGGCCCGACAAACACAAAATTCTTGACCTTGCACAAACTACATTAGATAGATAGTTAGAAGGCTTATTGCAGTGTTTAAACGTAAAATTTTGCTCAATTTCATTCACTAACCTGACCAAATTCATAAGAAACCAAATAAGACAAAGTGGATGATTTGATCATATTATCAAATTGATAAAGACTCAGAGTTTTAATCCTCCACAGAAACTTGACACATGAACAGACAGATGTCAGGACAGAAAATTAAAAGGCAGTTTTTACAACATGGTATAAAACATTCAAATGTTTTTAAAATGTCTGTTCCAGCAGCAGGGGGCGCTGCTTCTGTGAAAGCACTTCAGGATGGAAACAGCTGCATCTCTCCTCTTCTTCTTCAACTCGGGTCATAAGTTACAGAGCAGAACATCGGAGATTATAAAAATAAAACAAACTTATTTCTTTTAACCAGTGACAGACTCACACAGTCGATGCAGATGTGAGTTGATGAGGAGTTGGGTGAACTCAGTTCCAGAGTTCACCCAAAGAGGGCGCCGTTTCACCTGATTACGCCGTTTCTTACCAGGAAAGCTGTCTTAAATAAAAAAAACAATAACAAAAACACTAAAAATACAAAATCTTACAAAGTATTTCTGTCTAGTTTCTAGTGCAAATATTGTAATAGACTTGAAATAAAACAAAACTAACTTGCAAGTAACTTCAGACAGAGGAGTTTCTTTTAAGTTGATAAAGTGAAACGTTTCATATTCAACATGGAGAAACGATGCCGTTATAAAGTGGAATAATCTGCCAGCAAAACTATAACTTTTTAAAATCAATATGAAAGAATGACTGACCTAAAACAAGCTACTATATAAGGGATGTCTAAACAATGGTCCCTGGGATAATTTTATGTGGACCCCCAACTCAAAATTTTTGGACTTTTTCATTTTTTTTTAAGTTTTTTTAGAAAATTTCTGAGCTTAATCTCAAAATTTCAGTTTTTTTATTTTTTTGGCAAAAATGTACTCATTTTTTCTATCTGAATTGGACTTAATATGCTGTTGTACTGAGCACTTTTAAAAAAAATTCATATCAGAATTATTTTTCATTTAAAGTCACAAAAACAATATGGCCCCTGAGTACAATAGACAGGGGACGCAGATATTGGCAGGCCCAAAAAATGTTTGGACACCACTCTCTTATATCTTGCTGAAATGTTGCATTTATGTTGTCTTTGTCTTATTTGAAGTATACTGAGATATTTGCACTAGGAATTAGACCAAACGTGCTTGGTAAGATTTTGTGTTTTGAGTCAGTTTGACTCAGAGATGATGAGCAGTAAGAAGGAGAATATAACTCCCTGATAAACCCGGTGGACCTGCAGAACCAGGATCTGAACCTGAGCCAGGACCAGCCTTTTTCCCCCAGCAGCATCAGTCTGGATCCACAGCAGGATGACGCTCTGCGTCCCCACATCATCCCGCCTACATCAGGCTGTTCAGGTGTCCCACAGGGTTCATCATCAGGGCTCGCTGGTTCAGCGCCTCCCTGTCCCGGACCAGCGCCGCCCTCTCCTGCTCCACCAGGGCGCGGTCCTGCTCCACGGCCGCCCGCTCCCGGTCCAACCACAGCCGCTCCGCCTGCACCGCCGCCCGGTCCCGCTCCACCATCTCCCGCTCCCGGTCCAGCACCGCTCGCTCCCGCTCCACCGCCTCCCACTCCCGCTCCAGTCCTCCCAGCGACCCGCCGCACGGCTCCTGGAAGTCTGTGGAGGAGGACGGCTGCTGCACAGGAGGGAGGCGGAGTCTGTGTCTGGGGGCGGGGTCTGGGTGATGGTCGTCATCCTGAGTCAGAGGCGTGAGGAGGGGAGCGCTACCAGCCAGACGGCCCTCCATGGCGTCGTTCATCAGGTGGAACCACGGCCAGGAGGAGGCGCTGTCAGCTGCACTCTCCATCCCAACAGGAGGATACTTCAGGTCCTGAACAGAATGTAGACATGGTTTCTGCAGCTTTCACCAAATTGAGTTCAAGACCATTATGGATTACATTTAAAGAGACAGTATTATGTGGCGCATAGTGCCATTTTATAGCACAATTAAGTAATTATGTTACTTTCAGTTGTTAGAAAAATGCTATATTAGATATGACTTAAAAGGAATTTGACTTCACATCTTAACGTTTTAAAATTGTGCCTCTGTCTCTTTAAGAACTTCTGCTCTTTCTGAAACTCCTCCTTCTTCACAAAATGACTGCTCTATTAACCCTTTAACAACGTTTTTACCAGTGTTTCACTGAGAAGTAGCTCCTATAATGAGCTCAGCAGACACACAGTTACACCAGCTGTTTGTTAATTGGTGCTGGCTAGTCTGAAGGAGCTGAGTGAGGGAGTTGCAAGGAGCTTGGATGCTTGTAAACTGCAACTCTGAGGAGGAGCTGTGTCTCATAGGAAGGGCTAGGTCCACTCACGCATTTTGCACAGCTGAATGGTTCCCATGGAGATTAAAGCATTTCTCAAACATGCATTAAAGATTCAAAGGAACACTCCAGGTTTGTTTTGATGGGGTAATAACATTATAACATGATGTACAGCTCAAAAAAGTCGATTTTTACAGGATACTGCTCCTTTAAGACCTGTATCACAACAGAAATGGGGTTCAAACGATTAATTGAATAAATCATGATTATTGAAATAATCAACTAATTTAGTAATTGAATAGTCAAAAACTGGAGTATACAAATTCGAAAAAAGCCATTTGCTGAAGCAACACACTCAGAGCAAAGATTTAGCTACAGCTGTACAAAAATATACATATTTTGCATTTCAGATTAAATAAACTCTTTTGTTTATAAATATGTTCTAACCAGAACTCCCCAAATTAATAAAACACAAGACAATGTTGACTGGGAATCTTGTCAAAGCCAATATGGATATATCTTTGCATTTTATTAATGAGAGTTTCTATAAATAATGACTTTTAGTGTTTAAAAAAATTGTCAGTTTTCATGAGGATGAAATGCCATAATACATAAAAATGTATTAATTTCCAAAGACATCCAGCTATGGGTGGACTAAGCCTCGCCATTCCCTGTGAAATTGGAGCAGGAATCATGAAAGCATTGATAGGATGGTGGGAATGTCTCACCTTGTACCTCCTCTTTAGATTGTCCCACTTCTTTGCCATCTGGTAGGTGGAGACTTTTCCCTGCAGGCCGAGCTCCTTCAAGATGGCTCTGAGGAAGCAGGTCATACGTCATCAACAGATGCAAGTTGTGCATTAATGAGTTAATCTAAAGTTGACTGAGCTTCCTGAGTTTTCTCTTCTTTCAAGAGGGCCAGCTGTCTATCCATCACATAAAAGGGCTAATTTATAAGGGCTGAATTAAACGTTTTTGTGTCAGCTGTATTAAATACTGACTGGATAAACAGAAAATTGTGGTTTTCTCACATTATTAAACATACATATTGAACAAAATATAAAACAGGAACCTCTTTAATGATGAATAAAAATATAAAAGATAAAATGAATAAAATGTGAAAAACTTAAATACCCATGAAAAGAAAGAAATGCAGAAATACCGCCTTGAAGGAATGTTAAAACTTCGCTCCCTGAAGCGCATTACCTCAGACAGCCATCAAAATCAACCGTCCTTATGTTTTTTTTTATATTTTGCTTTATTATTTTTTTCTACATTATACCCACCGCTTTTCTGTCATCGCGCAAAGTGCATTTTGCTTCCCAAATCGGATAATGTTTGTTTCTCTTTACCCATTCTGGAAACCTCCGCCATTTTTGTTTTTATATCAACGGCTCTACTTACTAAGGATGACCAGCGGCGCCCTCTGCTGGATGACGACGAAACTACAACACTAAAAGTTCTAAGCGGACGTTATTAACTAACCGACTGGAACCAGTTTTAATCTAACGAACCACTAATCGTTAATTTTTTGCAGCCGAAAGCATCTCCTCCTCACCTCCAGGCAGCTTTGGCAGCGTTCCTCCTCCCGGTGAAGAGCATCTCGTTGGAAGCTCGGAGTTTGATCATCCTCCTGGTGTCCTGGTCGCTCACTGGGAAGCAGACACAGCAGAGACCCGCTGCAGTCACGCGTTTCTGGAAATTACTCGCTGTTTATCTGCAAGATCCCTGATCTCTGGTGAGTCTGGGTTCGTTTTACCTCTGAATCACTGATACCGTTGCCAATGGTCCACAGTAGCCCGATGTTGACTTTAGCCTGCAATTTATATTTACAAACACTAGATGGCACTCCCTCCCCTTACATGATAAAATATCATGTCAACGTAGAAATTGTGGCGCAACTGTTTTTCGTCTGTAATCCGTCAAAAGTCGCAGCGACTTCGAAAAATGTATTTTATAGGCTTATATGGATAAATGAACAAAGAAAAGATTTAAGTGAGAAATAAATTAAAATATTATGTTGATTAAATTCTTCTTTTTAATCTGTCATGTCACATGGAAATAACCAGAGGTGGCAGCAACTAGTTACATTTACTAAAGTAACATTTTTTATTTTTTTATTTAGTTTTTTAAAAAATGTACATTTTGGAGTACTTTACTACACTGTATTATTTACTTTTACTTGTGTGATTTTCTTATGAGGTAACCTCACTGTTTTAACTTTGTTTAAACAAATAATTCACCAGACACACACCTGCAGATTTTTGTCTAAGTTTCATAAACTTTATATTGAACAATTTTTTTTTCTTTTGTCTGCTTTTGTTATTTTTCTAATTACGCAATTTATATGAATTATTTTCATTTTGGTTCATAAAATACCCAAAATTTCCACATAACTTTACATTTTGGTCCATTTGATGATGTAATTTTTAAAAGATTAAATGGTTAATGTTTTGATCAATTACTCACTACTTGAGTCGACTTTTTATCAGATACTTTTTAGTCTTGAATATTTCTTTGGGCAGCTACTTTTTACTCTTACTTGAGTAAAAGTTTTTGGATACTTCACCTCTGGAAAGAGCAGAATCAAATTAAATCTTGTTCAGGTGAATACAACTCAAATGTTGGTGAAATAAAAATGTTGTGCATTGACATCACAATAACACATTATCATTGTTAAGCCTGGTGCTGTGGTGGATGTGTCCCGTATTTTGGAGGTTTTGAAGCAGCGACCCATATTTTCCTTCTTCCCGAACAAACAGATGAGACGGATTCAGGATGAGTTCAGATCAGATAAGCAGCTTGTGTCCACATCATTACAGCAGAGAAAACATTTCCTGCAGCTCCATCGAAGGGGTTTTGAATATAGACTGATTTGGTCTCAGTAAGTTTTAGAGTTAATAAGAAATCCAAAACAAACCGGACCAAGATAGTGCAGATAAACCGGAACATTGGCCAGTTTATGAAATAAATATTAAATCTTGACTTCCTGCTAAGCTATATTCTAACGTGAATAAGATTTTAAGCTAAATAGTTGATTTTGATTAAGAATATCTTAGTAGTTCAGATTAATAGTAATAAATTAAACATTTGCGCCCCCTGTTGATGCAATGTGGTACTGTAATATTTACAAATAAAATGATTTCATTCTTAACAAAAGAATATTTTAAAATTAGTGGAAATTATTAAATTTTTGTAAAACACATGCTCTTTAGGTTACCTTAATAGAAGCTATGCAAAGTTGTGTAATGTACAGACAAAATTAAATAATCGATTAATAGAATGATACATTAAAATAAGCTCAATTTCCATTTGCAGGATTTACTATTTTTCTCTAAAACCATATGACAAATGTCTTCAATCTGATGTTTTGGTCTCAACAAGCCCTTAGCTTGAAGGACAAATTGGTTTACAGCAATATCATAATTCATTTTATTTATTGTTTCTGCTGTTTTGTTGATTTTATTTTGGGTAATAAAAAATGTCTTTCAGTTCCAATGTTAAATATTCATTAAAAGTTAATGTTTAATTATCTCTGAGAATGTGTTCTTGCATTATTATTCCATTATCATGACATTACATTAAAATGGTCTCAAAACAACAATATTATTATATTTATCACAATAACTTCTGGGACAATTTATTGTCCAACAAAACGTGTTATCCTGACAGGCCTATTGATTAACAGTAAAGACACAACGATGAAGAAAATCATAGAGTGTGGACTCTGTGTTGGTTTTGACTTTTTAGTTTGTCCAGGAAAGTACTTGTACTTACTTTTGTAGGAGAGCTCTGACGGCGTGGCGCACTCCTCTCCGCTGGCGTCGATGTAGGTGACGGCGGCGTCGGCCTCGCCGTGGTCTCCGCCCGCCATGCTGTCCAGCTCCGACATGCCGCTCCGCTCCCCCATCAGGCAGTCGGGGGGCGGAGACGACCCGAACACGGCGTCCTCCTCGCTGGTCCACACCGGCGTCACTCTGGGGGCTTTATCGGCCAGCCGGCCCTCCAGAGCGTCGCTCATCAGCTGGAACCAGGGCCAGGAGGCCGGGTTGGTCTGGGCCTCCATACCGCGAGGAGGAAACTTCAGGTCCTTCACAGGCAGGACACAAGATTCAGAACCAGCAGCGCCAAAGAGACGGATTCATTCTGATAAATTTACACAATTTATCATTTAATGACCTTCGCAACAGTTTCCAGAGAAGCTGGGAGTAATTATAAGAAACACACTGGAAAAACACAAAATATTACCAAGTAAGACAAAACTAACTTACAAGTAACTTTTCAACAACAAAGAAGAGCTTGTTTGGGTCAATAATTCCTTAAAGTTGGTGAAAAAGTACTAGATTATTTCACTTATAACATGGGAAAATTTTACTTAAAACAAACTCCTATATGTTTCTGAAAAGTTACTTGTTTGTTAGTTTTGCCTTATTTCAAGTGAACTAAGATGTTTGCATTATATATAAAGCCAAAATTAATTGGTAAGATTTTATGTTTTTGCAGTGCAGATACGTCGGTCATAATAGGCTCATAGAGTCATAATAATGATTATTGATAACTAAACTAGTTGATGATTATTTAAATAATCAACTTTCATGATTAATCATTTCAGCCTTAATTATCTGTGCTATTTAGTTTTTCCTTGACATTTTTAATCATGTTTTAATTGTTAATTTCTGTGTCAGATAAATAAACTTACTAACTTTATGAGGTTTCTTGTGAATTTGAGGGAAAAAAAAGAAATTTTTCACAGTAAAACAGTTGATACTTTAGAACAAACCTTGAATTTAGTCTTCAGGTTGTCCCATTTCTTGGCCACCTGGTCTGGAGTTATCCTCCCAGTCAGACCCATTTCCTTCACAATCCCCCTGAATCAGAACCAGAACCTTTTTAAACAGGAAGCTTAGCTGGAATCATGAATATTAACTGTGATTGTGATGGAGACCAGGGCTCCATCACTGATAAAATAGGATTATTGATATTGTGTTTAATTGATTTGCAGACAAAATGTCCTTTATTTCAGTTGTATTGATATTTTTTTACCACATTCTTGCTGTACTGGAAGGATGGTCAATTAAATGTCGCAGTTAAATCAATTAAACACAACATAATAAAATAATCCTGTTTTCTAAGGGACCCCTGGTCTCCGTCAGTGACGTCGGTGTTGATATTCCTGACCTCCAGGCGGGTTTTGCCGTGTTCCTCCTGCCGGTGAACAGAGCCTCATTAGCAGCTCGCAGCTCAATCAGTCGCCTCGTGTCTTCTTCTGTTACTGTGGACATTTAAGTTTCACCGGCACATTAATCTGAGAGAACTCATCACAGAGAAGTAGAACAACAACACCTTCCTGTTTCCGGTCTCTTACGTTTGTAGGTGAACTCTGTGATCCGGTGCAGATCACCCAGAGCCGACGATCCGATCTTCTCTTCGTTATCGACCAACAGATCCATCTCAGACTCCGTCAGGAACTCGGCCATCCCTCCCCGGCTTCGCCGCGCCCGTTTCTTCGGCGTCGGTAAAAGAGTCTCGCACTCCTCGTCTCCATCCTCCACGATGGGAGCGAGGATGGGCGCGGCGTTGGCCAGTCGGCCCTCCATGGCGTCGTTCATCCGGTAGAACCAGGGCCAGGAGTTTGGGTTGGCCTCCACTCCGCGGGACGGAAACTTCAGCTCCTGGAGGAGACGCAAACAGTTTTCAGTGATTCAGTTTGGAAATTATTTTAATTTTTTTTTTTAGATAATGTACAATATTGGACAAGTTTTTTTTTTGTTTTTTTTTACATATTTGTATCAGTTTGATAAATAAAACTGTTCTACTAATAGCAGATAGTATTTATGTTCATCTTGTTGCCGTTTGCCTCTGTGGGGGGAAGTGGAGGAGGCTGGACATGTATTTGTTTGGTCATATCTGTTACCGGCTCTAACAGCAATTTCCATATTGGTGCATCCCCAGTTTTTATTTTTGAAGCATGTTCTTTGCTTGCAGTAATATTGGAGCAGATTTCTCTCCGTACAGCATCGCTGCAGGGCATTCTGGGGGTTCAGGCGGTTTATGTACCTTATACCTCCTCTTCAGGTTGTCCCACTTCTTGGCCAGCTGCTCTGTGGTCAGCCGCCCCTGCAGACCGAGCTCAAACAGGATGGCTCTGAGGAAAACAAAGAGAACGTTTTCATTTCTAACTTAGGTAGTTATAATATAACGTGAGGGAATCTCACCTCCAGGCTGGCTTGGCCGAGTGTTTTCTGCCCGTGAACAGCGCTTCGTTTGCAGCTCGGAGTTTGATCATCCTCTCGGTTTCGGCCTCGGTCACTGTTGGACAGAAGAATCAGGTTTCCATTACAATGGGCACAAAACTATGATGATATGCTAATGTCTACAAAACACAATTCACAATTCTGTTTTTCTGTTTCCAGTTAGTAAGAAACGCAATTAAATAAAATCACATGAGTAAGTTTGTTCATGTAATAAGTCATAAAAATAAAAAAAAAAGACATGCTGCACCATCATCCTCCAACCAGCTCCTGTCGTCTCCGCCTTTTCCACCAGTAGTAACAGAAAGTTGTTCATCACATGACTGGTAAAGTGTTTCCATAGCAATTTTATTAAATTTACATAATTTTAAAACAGCTGAAAAACCACCTCATCCAAGAGAAAAACCTTTTGTCAAACTGCCGTGTTTCTATTAAGTTTTTTTTTTTTTCACAATTTTATGGTGAATGGAAATCCAGCTAGAGTCAAGTTCATTTCTATGTTACTGTTAGATTTTCATTCCTGAAAGATGTTTGTAACAAAATCAAGCAAAAGAAACATTTTTCCAAATCAGTTTCTTTCAATATAAAACTTGAACAAAAACTGCAGGTTTGTGTGTCTGAATTTTGACTAAAACTTGTTTTTCATTCAGTGAAGTTGCTCAAGAGGGCAGAGAATCCATCCAGACATTTTACTCAAGTAAGAGTAGCAATACTTCATAATAAAACAACTCAAGTACAAATATTTCTAAAAGTAGAAGTTTTCCAAATCATTACTTTGATGTAATGATCTCAGGAAGGTTCACCTACTTTTATACGTGCACTCTGTCATCCTCCGCCATCCCATGGGAACGCCTCCGGTGGGCGGGACCTCGGCATGGACCGGCTCGTCTTCCTCCACCGGCTCGCCCGTCACCGTCTCGTCCATCTCCGTCTTGATGAGGAACTCCAGGATGTCCGTGTTCTCCTGGTTCTGGCAGGGCTGGCAGTCGGTGGGGTGGGCTGTGTTGCCAGAACTGTCCGGACTCAGAACCAGGCTGCTGTTAAACAGGCGGCCCTGCATCGCTTCGTCCATGATGTGGAACCAGGGCCAAGACTCCACCACGACCCCAAGGTGCTCCTGGCCCTGGTAGGGCTGTTTCAGGTCCTGAAAGAGGAGCACAGTGACCCCAGCAGGCTCAGATGTGAACTTCACTAGCTGGTAGAAGCAGTCAGGGGGGTTTCACACCTGACTGGACCAAAACTGCAACATTTGCTACATTTTCAGCTACTGTAATTCCCTTTCACATTGCACTGGGCCAAACAATCCAAACTAATTGAAAAACATGTTCCTCTCCTCGCCTGTGGGGGCGCTGCACCAAGAACCACTGAAGGAAACGACACAAAAACATCTGAAGAAGACACTTAAGGCGCTTTCGCACTGCACGGAACGGAACGGTTCCGAGCGTGTTCACATTACAACTTGCGACCGGTTCCACCCGGCCCCATGGAACCACAAGAGCTGTGGTTCGCCTTAGCGACACTCCCTTCTTCACGAAATGTAAACCAGAACAGAGTAGAGTAGGTTTGGATGATACGGCTGAAAAACGCGTCATGACGTAAACCTTTCATGTCAGTCGATATTTTTAGTTATTGATTAGTTTTTTGTTTTAAATTTCTGAAAAATTTCCAAACTGTTGGCTTGACCTTTCCTGTTTTATCCACAGTTTTCGTTCCACGCCTTTGTGTCTTTTATTTTTAAGTAGTTTTGAGGCACAGTGGTGAAACTTGAAACTGCTGCTGCACAAGTTACTCAACAGGGTGTTGCTAGGTAACCAAAGACTGAGAGAGTTGCTAGGTAACCAAAGACTGAGAGAGTTAGTTGATTCCACAAATCTATCTTAGCTAACCATGAAAGTTTAAGTGGCTAAAGTCTTTCCTCCGCCTACATCCCCCAGAATGCTTTGTGATTCTGAGTTCAGTGAAATTATTGAATATTCTGTTGGACATGTTATCTATTGATATATGTCCAGTCGTTATTGATTTATTGTCCAGACCTAGAGTAGCATCAGATTTTAACAGCACTCTCGCTTTTGTTTTGGTCATATTTACCCAGAATGCCTTGTGTTTGAGTCAACTTCCTACTTTTGTAGCAGTTTCCAGTCAGTTTGACATCCACATATGCATTTGTACCAGAATTCACTTAATCAAAACCAAGACCGAGGTTTTTAGGCAGACCAGAGTTCACTTTTTTGATTCAATTGCTTCCCCAAACAAACCTGACTTTCTAGACAAATGAAGTAGAGTTGGATTAAAGCGGACTAAACATGACAGGTGTGAATGCACCCTAAATAATCCAGATATCTGGAAAGATGTAGGAGATTTTCACCAAAGTTTTGAATTGGTAAAGAAAACAGTGTTCTCATTTTTTTATTGAAATTACTCTCAATTTCTATTTTTCTTTATGAACTCCTGCAGAAGTTCAGCTGAATCCTAACACCAGAGCTTTAAAAAGGCTGCAGCATCAGATGAAGCAAACCCAGAACCAACTCCACTGCTGTGTTATTAAAAACCCCTGCAGCTCGGTGTTGTGTGGTGCAGATTCCCTGATCACATCCCGTCCTGCTGAGCTACACAAACAGAACTCAAACATCTGAAGGAGGGATAAATAAATGATGAGCTAAAGCTGGTTTATAGTCTGACTGCGTCCTCACAGCAGGGCTGGTTCTGTGAGAGATCCAGCTGTTACAGCAGAGGGTTTAATGCAGGAATATTTAGAGGAGTTGATTAAAAAAAGACCCAAAAAGATAAAAGAACCCATCAAAATCCTTATTAATGTAGCAGCTGCTGTTAGTAATTATTCTGTAAATGCTAAAACTGCTCCATTTGTTAACACAATTTAAATTATTGGGGTTCCCCATGGCTCAATACTGGGTACTTTCCTATTTTCATCCTGTATTCTGATAACTAGTCGATATTATTCAGTATTTTATTCACATCCTTCACCATTTTTACATATCTAGCTGTATGTGTGTTTTGAAAAGTTATCTAAATTGATCACTGGATTCAGTAAAACAGAAGCAAAAATATTAGAAAAATTTAAAACATAGCTAGATAATTTACACAAAAACTAAATAAGGAAGGACATAAGGAAAGAAAAAAAGACAGACAGGAGAGAAGGAAGTAAAGTAAAATAGAGTTCATCAAGGTCAGACAAATGTCTTACTTGTTCCACTTCCAGTTTTTTTTTTATAAAACTATGGTTTATATTTATAATCTAACACCTTTATCAACCAGTTAAAGTGAACTTAAGTTTGAATCTGTTTTTTAGCACGCCATAGGTGCAGAAATGTGCTTTCCTTCCTGATTCAGAGTCAGATCAACACAGATGGAAGAGCTGACAGGGAAAGAACAGAGATGGAAAAGGCACAAGAAAAGAAAGAAGAAAATCAGGAAAGAGGGAAGTATCGCAGGAATGGAAGTAGAACGCAAAAAATCAGAGACAAAAAAGAAGAAAGGAAGGTCACATGGAGGGAAAAAGGCAACAAGAATGTAAGACGGGGACAAAGGGACATGAGAGAGGAAGGAAGAAAGAAAGGAAAGACAGGTCACAGGATACGAGGCAGGAAGGAAGGAAGCAGTGACACAGCATTCCCTGCCCCCTTTAGACAATGGCAGTCTGGTACTGAGTGTCTTTTCCTACACTTATCCTGACTGGGTAGGAACCCTGAACATTAAACATGTTGAGTTCAACATGTGACACAAAAATAACAAAATGTTGTGAAAAACCAGCTTTTTTTCTGGCTAAAATCAACCAAAATCTTCTGGGACGGTGAGTTAAACCTGAAGAAATCAAACCGTAATGTTCAGGTTTGACCCTGAAACAAACCAGTTTTATATTAATCACTATGTCCTCCTACTGGGCTTAGAATTCACTTTAAAAGATCAGACCTTTCATATAAAGCAGTGACCGGTTGGGTCCAGTTTATCTGTCTAAAAATAGGTTTTGTTCTGTTTGTGCTAAAATTCTGAATTTGTTATTTTTTTCCTGAACCAGAAAACTAAAAAAGATAAAAGTCTTCAAGTTGTGGCCAAAAGGCTGCAGGACAACTTTCCTCCACAGCTGCTCTTTTTGTTTTAAAATAAATCCAGATGCATCTATTTAATTTGCCATTATTAATGTCAATATCTATTATCTTTAGAGCTGTAACTGATTATTTTACTAATTGACTATTTTGTTGATTATTTTGTTGATTAATCAGTGTATAAACATATACCAACAAATATCAGTTATCGGTCATAATATATTGATATCAGTCCAAATTTTCACATCAGTGATTCCTGTTATAAATTAGGATTGCAACTAAAGATTACTTCATGAAATAATTATTCTAAACGATTTAATCGGGAAAGAATAAACCTGGCACATTTCTCAGATTTTTCTTTTAACCCCTTATGCTTACTTTATACAATATTAGAAATATATTTTATATTACAAATATTTTAATTAATCTTTTACATAAGAAAATAAACATTTTATTTCCTAAATGCAATAAAATGATTTGTGGCAAATGATGCATCTGCAGCTGAAAGATAACATGAGATTAGTTTTGTTTTTACAGAATTTTGTAGAACATTTTTACACACAAAGGTGTTTATTTTTTTGTCTTAAATGTAAACTGTAATTTTTTTTTGCACAGTTTTGGTTAAATTACTACTCTGAATGTGCTGTTCTTTCAGCAAATGGCCTTTTTCGAGTCTATATACTCTAGTTATATCTATATTAATCAATTACTAAATAAGTTGACGATCATTTGAATAACTGATTTCTCTTGATTAATTCAATTGATCATTACAGACCCAATTATCTTACTCATGCACTTTTCTTTAAATGTAATTGTTTTATGTTTTATCTTGAACAGCAGTTTGTGGTGATGTGAAAAACAGTTTATAAATTGCCGATCATCCCTCTGTAACCTGAACTCACCTTATATTTGGTCCGCAGGTTGTCCCATTTCTTGGCGATCTGGTCAGCCGTCAGCTTCCCCTCCAGACCCAAACCCTTCAGGATGGTGCTGAGGAGCGACAGAGGACAACATCTGAGACAGAGATAACCCAAGAATGTAGAGTTTATAGACTCCATGTGTGGAGAATGATGAAACGGGCAGCAGACGTCCAACGAGATGATTTAAAACGAGGCCAAAACTCTGGATTCATTTGTTCTACACCAGGAGTCTCTGGTTTTAATCTGATTTATTACCAGATGTGGGCAGAGTTTCCAAAAATTAGACTCCAGTAAGAGCAGCACGACTTACATATTTTTACTCAAGTAAAAATAAAAAGTATTTGGTAAAAAATCAACTCAAGTACTAAATAAATGATCCAAACAAAAATGACATCATCAGATGAACCAAAGTATAAAGCTAAGTGGAAATTTTTGTATTTTAAAGGACGAAAATGACGACAATTAATTTTAGTAACAAAAAAATAACAAAATCAGGCAAAGAAACGTTTTTCCAAATCAGTTTTTCTCAATTAAAAAAAAAAAACAGATGAAACTTTAACAAAAACTGCAGGTGTGTGTCTGGTGTCTTCAACAGAACCAGGCTAGGACCCTGATCTGGACCACAGAACCAACCCTGACTCGGCCCAGACCATGCTGAGACCTCCTCACCTCCAGGCTATCTTAGCCGAATTCCTCTTCCCAGTGAACAGAACCTCGTTGGAGGCCCGGAATTGGATCAGCCTCTTCACGTCCTCCTCCGTCACTGTAGGTCAGAGGTCAAAGGTCACGGGTGCATCAACAGGACACGACCCACAGGGGCTGAAGATACTCACTCTTGTAGGAGTTCTCCTGGAGGTTCGGCTGCAGGCTCGGTTGGAGGGTCGGCTCCATGGTGATCATGGGAGAGCGGGGACTCGTTCTGGTGTTCGGGCCCGCTTCCTACAAGTTAGCTCATCGTGTAGTTCGGTTCCTCCAGTTTCCTCCAGCTTCGGTCCATTCAGCAAGTTGGGTCCAGTTCGGTTCGGCAGAGCTCCGAATGGTTAAACCGTCCGTTAGCTTTTTTCCGGCTAACACAACACAACAAACCAAACAGATCCGAGCTTCCTGCCGAGCTGGGAGTCCGGTTACAGACAGCTGGGACAGGTTCCGATGTCCGGCATGTGTCAGAACTTAATGACACCACCGCAGAATCATCGGGCAGAACCGTAAATAAACCCGTTGGAGGTACCAGAGCTAGCTGCTGCTGCTGGTGCTGAGGAAAGGAGCGCTCGATACCTCCGCCCAAACCTCCCCGAAGTCATGTGACCGAAATCTGGAGAGGGCGGAGTTACAAACACATATTATACACTGCTCAAAAAAATAAAGGGAACACTCAAATAACACATCCTAGATCTGAATGAATGAAATATTCTCATTGAATACTTTGTTCTGTACAAAGTTGAATGTGCTGACAACAAAATCACACAAAAATCATCAATGGAAATCAAATTTATTAACCAATGGAGGCCTGGATTTGGAGCCACACACAAAATTAAAGTGAAATGTTCCCTTTATTTTTTTGAGCAGCATATATTATATTATATTATATTATATTATATTATATTATATTATATTATATTATATACTGTGATGAGCCTCTTTTACTGTAAATAAAAACTATAATAACAGAAAAAATTAATTTCAACTCAAACATGTACATATATAAACCAGATATTTACATGAATTGCATAACATTTTTTCTGACATAAAATCCGACTACAATTTTTTTGTAGGTCAGTAAGCGTTGCTCAAGTTATTTATCTTTGGTCAATACCATAATAATTATAGACCGAATATTTTATAGATTTTTATGTATCTTTTTTTATTGAATGTTGACAGACAAAACAAGTGAAGACCACGTTGGTCACACACACCTTTTGACTTTATTGACTTTGTTGTCCGTAAACTGGGATGATATTTTTTATGTTTCTCCCTCTCAAGTTATCAGTTTAGTGGGAAGGAATAAATCTGCTAAACATTAATGGTCATAATATTATGGCTGATCTGAAACATGTAACTTGTAATTTGTTCAAACTTCGGTGGTGAAGTTGATAATCCGAGACAATAAAATTATGACAATGACGACGATTACTGTTTCTATGGATATAAACTCTGCTCTTCTGCCCCCTGCAGGCTGCAGGAAGTCTCTGCACAGTGAACCTGTTATGATCCTGAAGAATAAAGTGAAGTTTAAGATATTCACACACTAAAAAGGCAGGAAATCTAATGTCACAGTTTAATTCTACGGAAGCGCATTGTACGGAAGCGCAATGCTATCACGCAGGGGAAAAAAGCAATGCGCTTCCATATATCTCTGTTTTTGACCTTTAAAAAACTAAATGCGTGTTGTCTTATTTTGAAGGGTGGAACCGGAAACTGTATTCCCACCTGTTCCACCCTGACTCGGTTCTCCCTGTCTCAGAACATCCTGATGGGAATGATGGAGTCCGTGTCGCGGATCACGTCCTGAAAACTTCCCCCGATCACCTTTGATCCGTTTCCCACCTCAACAGGTAACACCACGTGACATCGCAACCTTGTGCGCGCGCGCGCGCTTGGACTCCTGTGCGCGCGTCTGCAGGTGCTGATGTTTATCTACTCAATGATGACGAGGATGGGGATGAAGGTGAAACGACGTGTCCCGGTGAAGGAGTCGCGTTAACGTGAGCGTCGTTACCTCGTTATCGGCTATTTTTCCAGGATTTTCCAGGATCTATCAGGTAAATCTGGGAAAACCGAGGCGCAGGATGAGATCAGATCCTAAAACAGAAACACAACAGCACAGAAATATTCTGAAGGAGCGCTACCTGCAGAAAGCGGATCTCTGTGACCTTATTTACTGTTCCTGCACCAGGCCAGGGAGATCAAATTGTTCCTTTAGAAACTAAAATAATAGACATAAAAATAAAAATGGCCGTTAGATTAAACAAGAAAATCAGAGCAGTGATTAAATCAAAACTGAACAAAAAATATTTAGATTTTACATTTCAGATTAAAAACTTTCTTTGCCTGTAAATCTGTTCTACCCAGAATTCAAGTGGCATTTTTAGTTTCACCTGGTCCAAGTTCTGACTTTTGCTCTCCAATTATTAATAAAAAATAAATCAACAAATCAATAGACCAATAGATGCATTTAGGACCAACAGAAATAAATACATCTGAAGCTAAATGAATGCTGGTTTAGTGTTTTAGGCAATAAAATTATTTAAAAAGTAATTTAATTATTTCCTTATTTGCATCTTTTAATGTATTTCTGATATTGTGTAAAAAGAGAAGTGGTTAATTGACAAAACTGCAGAATGTGCCAATTTTTAAAACTGATTAATCAATTAATAGTCAGAATAATCATTACTGAAATTATCTTTAGTTGCAGCCTTTCTGTAACTAATGAAGTCAGAGGGTTCGGTTCTGGATGTTCTTACTTATAAAACCTGCTGGCGATCTTTCAGGAAGTGACACGCTGCAGGTTGGGTTTACATTAATTAACATCACAAAGGAAAAGAGATCCAGAACCGAGCAGTTCATGATGAATTATTTCTGCTTTAATTAAACTGTTTTATTTTAGCAACACAACTTATTAAACCAAACCTGAACATTTAATAAAAAGGAAAAAAGAAAAAAATGTTTTGTGTGCAAGAAAAGCAGCTTTAAAAACTTGCTTTAGATGATCTTTTGTCCCATCAGATAAAGTAAATATCGCATGTTGTTCTGTTACTGTAGCACCATGTTGGCCAGGAAGGGCCTCCTGCCGGACGGGTTCCGGCTGACCCGGCTGGCTGAGGACCAGAACCAGCCGAACCGCAGCCGCACCAGGTCCCTCAAAGCTCGCTTCATCACCAAAACTGGATCCTGCAACGTGGCTCACAAGAACATCAGGGAGCAGGTAGACGGGCCGAGTCTGTTTCTGTGTTCAGTCTGAGGTGTGGACCCGGGATGCGGGTCAGTTCTGGTGAAAAAGGTTAACGTACTTCTGAAATCATGATAATAATAGTTCTGTTATAAAGATGCAACCAGATTGGACTCGATGCAGAGGCGGTCCTAGCCTGTTTGGTGCTCTGGGCAAATTGCCTTTATGGTGCCCCCCACAAGATGCCACCGTGGGCGGTTGTCCATGTCGCTCATATAGTGGCTTGCAAGCTAAAAATTTAGCTTAAGCGAAATATTTAGTTCATAAAGTAAATGTTTAGCTCCAAACTAACTACTTCATTAGAAAGCTAAACATTTAGTTCCAGTCTCTACAGACATATGTTGCTGCTAACTAAACATAACTAAATGTAATTTAAAGTTAATGATTTAGTTTGGATCTAAATATTTTATTTGCAAACTAAATATTGAGCTTGCTAACTCTATATTTAGTAGCTTTGCAAACAAAATCTTTAGCTTTATAAAAAATATTGTTTATAATATTTTGCTCCAAACTAACTACTTAGCAAGCTAAACATATAGTTCTGGCTAGCAGCTGCTAACTTTCTTGTTTCAAGCTAAAGATTTTGTTTAGTTTACTAACTAAATATTGATTTTGGAGCAAAAATATTTAGTTGATAAATTAAATATTTAGCTTCAAACTAAAAATATGGCTTTAACTAAATATTTAGTGTGAAACTAACATTTATGAATAACGTGGTGAAAATATGACTTTGAAAAATGAATCCCCATTTTTCCCTCTTGACAGTTCTACATGAGTGAAAATGTTGCCATTAATTTTTGACTGTGTAACTTTACTAATGGAGGTTTGAGCTTCAGTCCATCAACAGGGTTCTGTTAGCCTGATGTTAACCAGAACCTCATTCATCTGCACATTTTTGCCCTGATTTTCCTCCGTTTCTTTGCGTTTCTCCTAAATGATGACTCCACATCCTCCTCCAACAGATGATGATGACGAAGAAGACAGATGAGCCTTCAGCGGGGTCGGAGGTCAGCCATGTTTTGATGTTTTCTGGTTGTTTTCTCTCACAGGGTCGCTTCCTGCAGGACGTCTTCACCACCATGGTGGACCTGAAGTGGCAGCACTCCCTCCTCATCTTCACCTCGGCCTTCCTCTGCTCCTGGATGCTCTTCGCGATGATCTGGTGGCTCCTGGCCTTCGCTCATGGAGACCTGGAGCCCCGTGACCCAGACAACAACCCGGGTCCGGTGCCCTGCGTCACCGCCATCCACTCCTTCACTTCAGCCTTCCTCTTCTCCATCGAAGTCCAGGTGAGCGTCTCTGCTGCTGCAAGGCATTGATTAATGACCTGATCTAAAGTTGACTGATCTTAACGATCAACTAAGCTTGATTAAAGTCTGCTTTCTTAAAAATTTGAGTTGATTGTCATAATATGCTGAATTTAAACAAGACATCCTAGAATTTTAACAGTTTGTGTCATTTGTATTTAATACTGGATGAGTAAAGAGAAACTTGTGGTTTTCTCACATTATGTAACAAAATAACAAAACAGGAAACACTGCTGAATAGAAAAATAAAAGTTGAAAAGAATAAATTATGTTAAACATTAAACTCCCCATTTACAGAGAGATGTTCATGTTGAAGTATTGTCTGTGTTTTCTCTTGAAAGAATGTTAAAACTTTGCTCCAGAAAGTTTAACTTATGACAACTGATAAACTTAACCTTGCTTTTTGGGATCATGTGATTTTCCATAATGTTACAACTTTTCCATTATGCCTCCACTTTTCTTTCATCTTACATTTCTTACATTCTCACCTTCACAGCGCATCAGTATTTTTGAATGAGAAGTTGTCGCTGCTCCGTCATGTAGCTCAGCAGAATATTAGAATATTAAAGTGGTAACAAATGAGCTTGTCGAGCGTTTATATTTCAAAACAAAGTCGTATAAAATACTTTTTGTACCCCAAATTGGACTCTTGTGGACCGTTTCTCTTTACCGTTCTGATATGGCTCCGCCATCTTTGTTTCTATACTAACGGCTCGCTTAAGAATGACCAGCGGCGCCCTCTACTGGATGGTGGCCGAACCACAACACTAAAAGACGGTCTAGCAGACGTTAATATAACTAATTTTAATCTAATATACCATTAATTGGTCCTTATTTGGTAACGCCCTCCTTCCGACTCCAGGTGACCATCGGATTTGGCGGCAGGATGGTGACGGAGGAGTGTCCCGTCGCCATCATCACGCTGATCATCCAGAACATTCTGGGCCTGATCATCAACGCCGTGATGCTCGGCTGCGTCTTCATGAAGACGGCGCAGGCCAACCGCAGGGCGGAGACGCTCATCTTCTCCAGGAACGGCGTCATCGCCACTCGAAACGGCCGACCCACCTTCATGTTCCGAGTCGGAGACCTGAGGAAGAGTATGATCATCTCCGCCACCATACAGTTGCAGGTGAAGCTTCAGTTCCTCTCGAAGCACCAACACCGGATATGATGCTAATCGGAGCGCCGCTGTTTCCCGCAGGTGATCCGACGCACCGTGACGACTGAAGGGGAGGTGATCCCGGTGTGCCAGCTGGACATCCAGGTGGAGAACCCTCTGAGGAGCAACGGCATCTTCCTGGTTTCTCCTCTGATCATCAGCCACACCATCGAGAGAGGGAGTCCGCTGTACGACCTGTCCGCCCAGTCTCTGTCCGCAGAGGACCTGGAGATCATCGTCATCCTGGAAGGTCAGGCCCCGCCCTCACCTGGTTCCACCTGACACAGTACATCCGGGGTCTACAACCTGAGGCTCCTGAGCCACAAGTGGCTCTTTGGACCTTTCACAATGGCTCTTAAAGGGGCAGTACTATGTAAGAGTAAAATTTAAGAAACGGGAACAAAAAACAGAAATGTATAGATTAATCTCAGAAATTTTCTAGAAATAACTTGGGAATGTCAGAATTTTTTCTGTTTGAAAAGTCAAAAATGTTAGACCATTAGAACTTTGTTCAGTTTGAAAAGTTTTAAATTTTCCACTTTTAAACTAAAAATTCCAAATTTTTTCTAGATAATTTCTAAGATGAATCTAAAAATTTCTAAGGTTTTCTAGCAAATTTTCAACTTTTCACACTCAGAAATGTGCTAAAAGTTGAACATATTTGACTTCTCAAACTCAGAGCTCTTCTAGTTAATTTTTGCCTTCTAACTTGAAAAGTTGGAAAATTGTTAGAAAAAAATCAGAAAATTTCTGGAAAAAATGTCTAGAAAAATGGATGTTTCTGAGTTTGAAAAGTTGCAAAATTTTGACTTTTGGAAATTGTTTGACGGAAATTTCTAACTCAGAAATTTCAGTGGTTTTTCTAGGATATTTTTGAGGTTAATCTAAAAATTTCAGAGTTTTTTCTAACACATTTTCAACTTTTCAAATTCAGAAATTACCAAGCTGAACATTTCCAAGTTTTTTTGAGTGGAAATTAACTCCTTACTTTTTAATATCTAAAGGTTGCAGACTCTTGACCCACGTGGTTCTGATGCAGCATTTGGGGGTTTATATCTCTGATTTCACAGACCGGTTCTGATATTTTTGTTCTTCCAGGTGTGGTGGAGACGACGGGCATCACCATGCAGGCTCGCACCTCCTACACTCCCGAGGAGATCCTGTGGGGGCGGCGCTTCGTCTCCATCATCACAGAGGAAGATGGCCGCTACTGCGTGGACTACTCCAAGTTCGGAAACACGGTCCCGGTCCGGATGTCGTCGCTCAGCGCCAAAGAGCTGGACCAGACCCGGGGCGTCCAGGAGGGGACGTCCGAGACTCACCTGCAGGGCTGGGGGCTGGTCAGAGCCGGCAGGGGGGGTTTCCGCAGAGGAGGGCGCGCCTGCGACGGCTCCACCCCCCAGCCGTGGTACGCCCAATCAGAGAAGCAGGAGAAGGATGCAGAGCAGAAGGGGCAGAAGAAGAAAGTGCAGCTGGAGGTGATTGGACGGCAGATTGAGGAGGAAGGACCCGGAGACGTGAGCGACTGAACGAACAGAACTGATTCCTGATTCAGTGTGTTCATACGCAAATGTGTCTTTAAATTTAGATTAATTCCAGCTGTTCAAAGTTCAAACATCCTCTGAGACCCATAAGGACCAAAGAGTCGTAAAAAATAAGACAGAGAGCATCAGTCTGACGGAGAAGGTCCAAAGAGATGAAACCAGACTTCATCTGTGAATCCTCACTGGCAGTTAGAACAGACTCTATCCTGCTTCTGATTCCTCTCTTTAAAGGGGACTTATTATACAAAATTCACATTTTTATTTTCAATTTGGGTTTCTCCTACTTCTAAAACAGCCCAACTGTTTAAAAAAAACACTTTCCAAGCAAAGTTAGTGGGTATTTTGTTTGGAAAATGAGTCATTTTAAAAACCTTAGATTAGGTCAGATTCCATGGGCATCGAGGGTTACCTAGCAACCCTGCTCCACCTGTAACCTAGCAACCCAAGCAGAGCCCCAGTCCGTTTGGTCAGATGGCTTTACCCCTGTATGTGCTGTACAATGGCTGCTGGAAAAAACAAGTGTTTGTTTCTTAACTTACCATCCACAAACCACTTGCACCATTCTTGTTGGTTGTGCAGGAGGCTCCACGTCTGCTTTTCAAAGATGTATGGTTGTATAATGCACATCTGTTTGCAGCCATTTTCATGTGCGTGTGTAAACGTTGAGTTGGGGGGCGTGGCCAGCAGCAGCTTATTTGGATTTAAAGTGACAGAAAGCTGCGAAACAGCTCAAAATAGGCAGAACTGACTAGACTAAGATCTAATAAATTAAGAATCATTTTGTTCAAAAAAATTAAAGGAACATGTTTTATATAGCTGATAAATCTATCCTAACCATTTCAAGGAAGCATGATAGGTCACCTTTAACTGTTTTATTGTTGATTTGTCATGTTTTTGTGGTGCTTTTCTCTTGTTTTTGTAAATTATTAATGACTTTCATATATCCAGATTACTTACTGAATAAATAAAGGACATCCAGAGGACTGCTGTGGATATTTTACCTTCTGTAGATTAAAAATAGTCTTTGTTGTTCTTGTTATTTATAATGTATAAATAAATTAGTTTTGTATTTTTTTGTCTGCACCTTCTTTGTATAACTTATCCACTTTAAAACATCTGCTGTCTTGAGATAAATCCAGTTGAAATTTTGGCTTTATATCTCATAATTATGTCTCTGAAAGTATAAATTATGATTTCCTGTTGGGTTTTATTTTTTCTTTCATGGCAGGAATGGACATCCATACAGAAAAAAAGTTTTAAGGGAGATAGAGGATATTTGTAAGCAAGCAGGTTTTCTTTGAGTGATCTGTGATCTCTGTGGACAGATCAGATGTTCGTCCAGCAGGGGGAGCTGCTGCCTCTTCTTGTACTTCAGGATTTTTGAAGGAAAGTTCTGTTGAAAGGTTATAAATAGTTAATATCATCACTGCACTAGATATCTACTTGTATTTTTATTAGTTTGATTCCAGTCTAGACCTTAGTAGCAGAAGGTAATGACTGGTCAGAGAGTGGACCAAAGGTCAACACAGACTTCGACCCTATGGAAGAACTATAATCACTAAAATATCATCAAAGTTTATATAACATTTGTTGGTGTTAAAGTGTTTTTTATGACCAGAATTAATAGTCCTTTAAATGTAACTCAGCAGCCTGCTTTTATAACTAGGTCAAATTAAGGTTTTTATCAGGAGATTTATGGTGCTAAATTGGGGCCAAAAAGTTTGCTCAAATGTTTGTAGTTGGTTTTTTTGTTTTGTTTTGTTTTGTTTTTTTGTTATTTTTTTTTTTTTTTGAAACTGAAAAACAATTTTAATCCTGAAAAAAAGATTTGAAACTAAAAGAGTTCAAAACTATTTGTCATGTTTATATTTTCCCACAGTTTTGGATATTTTTATTTTCAATTTATTTTTCACATTTAAGTTTTTGTTTGCAAAAAAAAAAAAAGTTCCAAGTTATTTTTCATATTTATTTTTTTCTTTGTTTCAAATCTTTTTATTTTTAGTTGCAATTTTTTTGCACATTTCAATTTTTCTTTTTTCAGCTTAAAAATTTTTTGGGGAATTACAGCACCATAGAAAAACCCGACTTGACCTAATTTGACCTGAACCAGATTCAAGGATGCAACAACTTCATGGTCCTGAGATCCAAACAAAAAAACAGAACCAGAATTTAAAAGCCAGAACATTTTATTTCCTGCTAAACCAACAGAAAATCACATTTTAAATGAGTAAAATCAGATTTACAGAAGAGACCTGAGGAGCCACAGGAGCCTGAAAACAACCAGCGAGCCAAAGATTAGTTCAACTTAACGTTTACATCCAGAACAGCTGCAGCGATTCAGAACCAGAACCACCAAAAGCTCAACAGGGACCACAGCAGAACCAGGACCGGGCCGGCCGCGGGGGCTGTGGAGCCCGAGTTACACAGGTTACTGTTGCAGCACCTGTATGTGAATCTGGAGATGGACGGGAACATCTGGGGGAGGCGGGACACATCACACTCTGTGTACCGGATACACTGCCGGATCGTCTTCCCACCTGCAACACAGAACACCTGAGAACCCGAGAGCCTGGAAAGAGTCCGAATATTAAACTTAAACGAGAGGAAAAAAAGAAAAGAAAAGTCATAAAATCCTGATGGGAACATTCTGGTGGAGGTTTGTATGATGGCTTATAGGGCCACAGTAGATAAAGGAGTAAACGTTTTGCCAAAAAACTTTAAAACTTGCTAGGAAAAAAAATCTGAAGTTTTAATATGAATTTCAGAAATTTTCTAGGAAAAACTCAGAAACATCTGAGTTTTGAAAGTCACAAATGTTTTACTTTTGCAAATTTTCAGAATCTCAAAAGTCAAGACTGGCAACTTTTCAAAGTCAGAAATTTCCTATTTTTTCTAGAAAATTTCTAATATCTCAAAATTTCTGAGTTTTGTCTGTCAAATTTTAAACTTTTCACAGCAGAACCAGGACCAGGATCTGGAAAATTTCTGGAATTAGGATTAAAATTTCAGATTTTTTTCTAGCAAATTTCTGGCTTTTGGAACTCAAAAATTTCCGTTTTTTTTTTTTTTTTTTTTTTTTTTTTTTTTTTTTTTTTTAAAAATATTTTTTTTTTTTTTTTTGTTTTTTTTTTTTTTTTTTTTTTTTTTTTTTTTTCCAGAAAATGTCTTGATTTTTTTGGATGAAATTTAAGCTTCATTTTTTTGTTCTGGTTGCTTCTTTTCTGGTCTTAATATGAGATTGTAGGTTTAAAAACTGTATTTGAAAATACTTTCAAATTTAAGTTGGTGTGAAGTGAGAGTGAATATGATCCAAAAAGCTATTTGAAGAAAATGAATTGTAGAATCTTATTCGTCTGATAAAGGATTTTAAGAAGGTTAAATGTTACAAACAGCTGCCAAAGAGCCCAGGTTGGTCATTTAAGGAAGTTCCCCTTTAAATCAGACCACAGGATTCTGAGAAAAGTCTCCAAAACCCCAACATCCCCTCTGAGGTATGAAGGCTCTGTGATATGAAAGTTCATGTCAGTACAGTCTACTGACCTTGATCGATCAGAGAGATGCACGAGTCTTCAAATGTGCACTCCTGCACGTTCTCGCAGCGCCCCGTGTAATCAGCACACTTGTAGCAGCGAAGCCCAGAACCTGAGGAAGAGGAGCAGAGAGTCAGGAGGAAGATCGGAGGTGATGGTTCCCATTGTTCATAGATCTGATGTGATTTTTAGAAAAAAATCTGAATGATCAGACTGACTAGCAGAGCAGAAACGATTACTCAGATTAATGAATCGATTATTGACATAATCATCAACTAATAATTGATTAATCGTTAATCAGTTAAAATTCAGGCTCAAAAAAAAGTCAATTTCTTGAAAAGCAACATACTCAGAGCAGTAATTGAGAGTAAGCTGTGGAAAAACTATAAACATTTTGCATTAAAGATAAAAAATCTCCTGTTCAGCACCAAATTGCTATTCAATTATTAATCAACTAATCCAAAAGCAGATCATACAAACACTGAGCTGAAGTTAGTCCAGCAGAAAGAGCTCAGCTTCTGTCATGTGGAAATATGTTTTAGCTGCAGATGATCAACCGTTCACTAAAGGAGGGATTTTATTGCACTTTAGGCACTGAAATGTTTACTTTCTCATTTAAACAATGAAGTGAATTATTTGTTTATTCGCGTCTTCTAATGTATTTTTAATCTTGTATTAAAAGGCTTAAACGGCTGAATGAAAAATCTGCAGAATCTGCCAAATTTATTATCCGATTAATCGTCAGAATAATCAATAGATTAACTGATAGGTAATTCCAGCCCTGAACAGAAAATTTTAAAGTTGATTCAGATTTTTTATATAATCTGAATAAACTTCCAGCTACGAGTCGTAGCGTCTTATAAATCTTAAGTTTTATTTCAGGGGAGCTGTGTTTCAGATCCATTATTGACACAATAATCAATCGCAAAATTAAATTGTGAGCTTTTCATTTCTCTGATGTTAAATTAGATAAAATGTTTCCTGTTTCAGCTGGTATTAACACATTTGTTTATATCTGCCTAAATCCAGAATAATATTGAGAGATTCCCTCTTTTTTCTGGCACATTACACCTGAGACAGGTGTGTTTTTTTATATTTTTGAATAAAACTGTCCTCAAATGACTCAGCTAATCAGAGGTGAGTGGAGGCAGCTGGAAAAGAGAGAGCAATGACGCGATGGGAAACCCTGACATTAACAGAAGCTAAAGCTAAATTCGCAATAATGACGGCACAATGGAAGTGAATAAACAGAAAGAAAATAATCCAAACAGAATCATAAACAAAAATGACACACTAAAACCTAAAGAAACACTCAATGAGATCAAATAAAGAACTAAAATCTAAAACCAAAATAAGCAACACAGAAATTGTAAAAAAAACAAAAAAAAACTGAATAAACAGATGAAACTAAAAGTCCAAACACTTATAGATTATGACACTTTTCTCTAGTCGTGGACAATATTACCTCTCAACTACATTCAATTAAGTCAAACTCTTTTGGGTTTGCTGGGTTTTTATCCCATTCCTCCAGAACCGGTTTACCTGAGCCAGGTATGAAAGCTGCTTCGCTCACACACACCTTTTCCCTTTACTTAAAAGTTTCTAGGAGTGAAGAAGTCAAAATAATGACTTTTTAAAATCCATATTAAAGAATTATTGACTTAAAACAAGTTCCTATATCTTGCTGAAAAGTTAATTATGTTAGTTTTGTCTTATTTCAAGTGTGTAAAGATACCTCCACTAAACAAAAATACTTGTGTTTTTGCAGTGTGCTCAACCTCAAAGTCAGAAATGTGTGAATTTGTGGCAAGAAGAATCTCTTCACAGCTTCTCTCTTAGAGACAAAATCACAAAATTAAAGGTAGTTGATCCAAAACTGATATTCTACTGTGAATATCTCCCTTAAAGCATTTCCTTCTCTCTCTCTAAATATCAGGTTCTGCCGGGTTCGGTTCCACTCACCCACATGCAGCATCCCGGACCAGAGCAGCAGAACCAGTCCGAAGCAGCGCTTCATGTCGCAGCTGAAGTGAAGCAGTTGTTAGCGGAGCGTCCGGCTCGGTGTCGGTCTGTTCGGCTGTGACCCGCAGAGGATGCCGAACAACAGTTCTTTGTCCGCTGGACAAAGAACTGCTGTGTTCAGAAACCTCCTCCTGTGTTCAGAAACCTCCTCCTCCTCTGAAACAACCACTCTGCAGCTGGTCAGACTGTTTATCTACGTTCATACTGACCCAGGTTCTGCTCCAACTGGGTTTTTTGTTTTTACACCTGGAAGTCCACTAGACTCGGTTCGATTAGGGTCCAAAACTGATTTTGTCACATTTTCAACTGGTACGGTTCATTTTTCCACACTGCACTGTGTCAAATTACACAAACGAAGCTGAAGTTGGTTTCCATTTCTAGCTTCTAATAGCTAAAGGGCGATTCCACCTAATTTTTCACTACATTCCGCATTTTTAATCGTCTCTAGTTTAAAAACTACTACACCTGGACACTTGAAACTTGGACTAGATTATTCACCTCTTCAAGCTGGATATTCAAAACCATGTTTGGGATTTGTGAAACATTTTTCTGATTTGTGAAAACTCAATAAAATTCGATTTTCACCTTTTTTTGCATCTCTTTCATATTAGAACTGCTCTAACTAAAAAACTACTACACCTAAATAAAAAAAAGAGTTTTATTTGTTTTTTTTCTTTATTTACTTGATTTTATTTACTTGATTTTATTTATTTATTTATTTATTTATTTATTTATTTATTTGTACCTTTCACTTGACGATTTTGGCCCACGTGTTAAAAAGTTTGAGGCGGACTTGCTGGTGGTCAAAGTGTCTGTATTTGGCAGGAGAAGTTCAGGGTTTTGTGTCATCAGAACTGAGTGGGTTTGTTTTGAGAGAGAGCGGACTGTCAGTCTGCAGTCAGTCTGTGACGTGGGAGAAACTGGCTCTGCTTCCGTATGAGGGCTTTGTGTTTCTGCAGACGTCCAGACGCCGTCTAAAGGTTTCTCCAGGAACGTGGGACTGATTTGGGTTTATAGTTCTAAATTCCCTAGGAAATCACCTAATATTTTATGTTTATTTTATTTGAAATTTTCAACTAAAAAAATATATTGTTAACTTTGACATTAAAAGGCAGTCATAAGTCAGAAAGTAAATATCTGATTTCTGTCAGCTGAACTGAATCCTGAATACTGAGGTTTTGAATCAGCTCATTTAAAAAAATGTCCGACTTGTAGGACTCTTGCACTGTGACTGCTGGCCCCAGAAAATAATCCAAAGGGCTTAAAGTGGCCCATGCGCTGCAGTTTGAACACCACTGCTCCAATCACCATACACCAAGACAAAAAGTAAACTTATGTTTAACATTATTAATCCCCATTAATTAATGTACAAGGGTCAAATACCTGAGCTGTCAATCTATAAAGTCTTATGGTTTTCTGTTAATCTGAGAGGAAATCAGATTAACAGAAATCAGATTAACAGAAATCTGATTTCCTCTCTGAGTAATTAGCAAAATCTAATTACTCAGATTTTGCTAATCTGAATTATTATAATTATAATGAATTATAATTATTATTGCTAATTATTTGTGCTCTCATTTTGGCCCAGCTCTGTTCAGGATGGAGGTCCGGTCTGGAGACAGACGGGACCGTCTGCAGCAGCTCTCAGAAAGGCGACTGTTGTTCTCCAGCTGCTGCTGCAGACAAACTCACAACATTTTCCTTTTACTGTAAAAACGTCCCGGCAGCTAAAAGAGGAGAAATAATCCGATGGATACAAATGGACTCTGTTTCATTTAATCCCTGATATTCCACCAGTTACATGAAATCAGTTCAGATTTGATTCTAGGAAACAAATCTGAACTGTCTAAAATAATATTTAAAAATCAAACAGACAAAATCTAAAGTTATGTCCAAATTTTGGTATTTTAAGGACTAAAATTATATTTTTAAAAAAGAATACAAATAAATGACATGATTAAAAGATAACAGATTCAGGCAACACTTTTATAAATCTGTAAAAAAAATCTTATTATGCTTATAATCTATAACTCAAATGCATGTCTGTTAGAACAGGGTGAAGAGAAGAAAGGAAAAAAACAAAAAAGGAAAAGGGAAGAAGAAAAAGAAAAGGGGAAAGGAAAAAAGAGAAAAAAGAAAAGAAAAAATTAAAAACTAAGAGAAAAAGAAAAAGAAAGAGGAAAAGAAACAGAAGAAAGGAAGAGAAAAAGAAAGGAAAAGGGAAAAAAGAAAAACAGGGAAAATTAAAAAAGGAGGAAAAGAAAAAATGGAAAGAAAGGGGAAAACAAAAGAAAGAGAAAAAAGGAAGAAAGGGAAAAGAAAAAATGGAATAAAGACAAAAAGGGAAAATAAGAAAAAGAAAAATGGAAAAAGGGGGTAAAAAGGAGTGAAACGGGGGGAAAAAACAACAGGGTGAAGTATTTGCCAAATGGATCAACAGGCAGAAAATAACTTTAGAAAAACAAACCTTGTCAACAAACCAGAAGCTTTAGCTTTAAATTTAGCTGTTTGTATCTCCTGCTTTTTTCTTTATTCAGTGAATTTGCTCTCAATGTGAAGAAGATTCAAAACGTTTACTCATGTAACAATAACATGTATAAAAATATTATTCCACTAAAAGTAAATAGTATAATAATTTTTTCCCAAAAAGTTACTTAAGTACATGTAACTGAGTAAATGTAACTAGTTTCTAACCAGTTACACATGCAAACGAGCTGTAAATACAAGAGAAGTTCCTTTCTGATATTTGAGCAAAATAAATTATTCTGTTGGTGTTTTAAGCTAATAAACGTCTCTTTCATATTTCATATGAGAACATTGTGACACAGAACTTCCTGTCCATTGTCTCTTTTTGTTGACCCATTCTCCCCAGTGCTTCCACTTCCTTTTTCTCTTGCAGACTGGAGTCCAGATGGTTGGAAAACTTGGCAGGAAGTCGTTTTGTGCTCTCATTAAATCTCCTCTGGTTGCCGTCTCCTGGCGACAAACAACTCCTTGTATTAATTTCATTTCTGTAGCTGTGGTCTGACACACTGATGGGTAAACTGTTTGTTGAATGGTGGCAGGGTTCAGAACCTCTGACCCAATTGGGCCCATTGCCCTCCCACTGGGTTCCACTAAAGCCTGCACTGCAAAGGAGCAGAACAACATGTGACTCTGAGTTAATGATCCCAAACATCCTAACCAGTTTTCCAACAGGGAAAGGATCCCAAACTGGTTTTTGAATGGATGAAACAGAATGACAGGTTTATGGGACAGATTAGCTAAAGCTCCAACCTTAAGCTGCGAACTTTGTTAAAATCTGAGTCTAAGCCAGAAAACCAACGTCTTAAAGGTGATCTATTATGCTTCGTTGAACAGGCTAGGATACATCTATGGCCATAAAATACATGTTTATTACATTTATTGCACAAAATCATTCTTAGATAATGAGGTTTCAGAGTGAGCTCCTCTCAGAATGATCTGTTTTAGGGCCTCCTGTCACTTTAAATCTAAAGAAGCTGCTTCTGGCCACGCCCCCAAACTCAACATTTACACTCACAAAATGGCTGCCAACTGATGCAAAACAACAAACAAGAACGGTAAGTCAACAAAACAGTTGTCTTTTCCTGCAGCCATTGTACACTGCACACAGCGGTAAGACCTGCTGACCAAATGTGCTGGAGCTCTGGTTGGGTTGCTAAGCAATGAACTGGGCTTGGCTGGGATTGCTAGGTAGCGGAGGTTGGGAGGTTTTGAAACAGTGCATTAACTTATTGCCAAAAACCAAATGGCTGTATTTTTTTTAGAAGCAGTAGAAACACAAACAGCGCTTCACATCTGGAAAAACTTCAGAATGAATTGAAAAAATGTCACATTATTCCTTTATTTGACCAAAAGAAATCACTGATATTTAATGAAAAATAAACCCTTTATTCCAACATTCACTGACGCATTAAACATGTTGATCATGCAGCTGGGAAGCCTTTGCATCACTGAAAGAAAAAGCTTTAATTCAAATCATTCACTGCTGTGAAAATTTAAACAAATATGCAGAAGACACTCAGTGCAGCTTTAGCATTCATTCAGTTGGACAGTCTTTACAAAGCAGAGAAAAATACTCTCTTTAAAAACGAGAGACGGCAGCAGTTGCACCGTTTTTATGCAGAATTATAAAGCCTTTATACATCCATACACTGTGTTATTGTCAGTCACTGAGACTGAGCGTCCTGCTGTTAAATCAGCCGAAACAGAGGCAGACATTCACTCTGACACCAACTCATTGTTCCTCATGTGTGACCGTGTTATTCTGCCAACACGTGCCGCTCGGAGCAAAACTTCAGCGATCCAAAGGAGGATCCAGAAAACAGAGCAGAATCCAAAGGAGAACCAACAGGAGGAAACAGTGGGGAAAAACCCCCAAGAAAAATCCAGTAAGATCCAGAAAAGGACACAGGAGAATCTAGAAGAGGAGCAAGAGGAGAATCTACAGCTGCCTCCAGGCAGGGATGGTCGATAAATTGATTGTATTAATTATTTTTGGTTTTTGAAGATTTAATTTTTGGAAAATCTGGATGTTTTTTTCACCACTCTTCACCCCCAGAGCCGCCATCTTGTTTGTTTTTTACAGCTTCTATTTATTTGGACTTTGAATTCAAAATTAATGATAAATTGATAGATAAAATCAATCAACTTCATACTAACTCATAAGTCGATAATTAGAACCTTAACAGCTTTCACAGCTGTTTCCTGATCTGAGATAAATTCTTTTCCTCTCATCACTTTCCAGTGCATAAAGGTTTTCCTGAACTTTTCTTCTAGTTTTTTGTGGTTTGCTATCCTGTTTGCTATAGATACTCTGTGTTGATGTCACCGCTGTGCAGGCCTGACTTTGGATCAGCATCCGACATCCTGTTCAACACCTCGGCAGAAAGAGAGTAGCTGCTCCCAGACTTCTCCTCAAACCAGCTGTCCAGCGCTCGCTTTGCGTCAAAGTTTGCGACGGGCGGTCCGTTGACGGCCACGGTGAGCAGGTCGTTCATCTGCTCCAGGGTCAACCGGGAGCGGTTGTTCTTACAAATCCTCTGCAAAGCGCCTCTACCTTTATCGCAGCAGGCCGTTGAGCTGGGCAGGACCCTGACGACCTGCAAAATCTGGTTCAGCAGCGGGAAACGTTGCTTGTACCTGCAGATGTGAATCAGAATGTCTTTGAAGCTGTTCATGCTGAAGTAGTCCACCTTCAGCTCCTTCCATTCCACCAGGAGGTTGCTCCTGGTCTCCGTCCGGTCGTCCTGACCTGCAGAAGGAATGGAGTCCAGGTGGTTGAATATGACCTGGATTTCCTCCTCGCCGAACGTCTTCAGGTCTTCATGGTTGCCGGGCCAGCTGTCCAGGTCCAACACCTGGCAGGCTTTGGTGAAGGAGCGGCTCTGCAGGTCCAGCCTTTGTGACAGGATCCCCTGACTTCTGCTGCAGATCTTTTTCCGGATGGACTGAAACTTGGACTCTGCAACACGAAGGTTCTTCAAAGCGACACCATTGAAGCTTTCCCTGAAGTTTTCCTCAAACTCCTGGAGATATTCACCAGGACAATCCACCAACTGGCCAATTTCCTGAATCGCCTCCTCTAGCCTGGCTTCCACCTGCGACACCAGCAGGTGCTCCCCCTGGAAGGTGAGGGCCAGTCGCGAGAGAACAGCTATGATGTCCAGCAAGAAGTAGATGAGTTTCACAGACTGATAGTCCATGAGGAACTGGAGGAGTGTCAGGGCTATGGCTGCAGCGTCAGCCCTCTGTGTTTGGCTGCTGATCTCCTTCAGGTGTGCCAAAACCTCCAGGTAATCCTTGATGAGTGCATTCAGAACGTTTGGTTCTCCTATGATCCATCGTACGGCTCTGATGTCACCCAGGAACTCCGTCTCCTCGGACAGAGTCGGAGCGCTGGATCGCAGCTCGGCCATCATGCGTGGAGAGTAGCGGTAGAAACTGAGGAGCTGCTTCAGGTTGTTTTCCAGATCTTCAAGACAGGAGAGCTCCTTCCCACTGATGGCGTCCAGTACCTCCAGATGAGGCCGGTGGATCAATATGGGAAGACAGAGGATCCAAGGAAAAGTCTTTTGGACAGATATGTACAGGCTTCCTCTAATCCCTGAGGAGATGTTGGTGCCATCCACTCCGAGACCTACAACCAGCAAGTCCTGAAACCGGAGTCCCAGTACGCTGAAGGCCCGATCCAGAAGCTGGAGGTATCCATCCACATTAGGCATGCTCACTCTCTCTAAGGACAGGAACTCCATTTGTGGGGAACTGTCACTGGTTGTGAACTGGACATAAACTGCCACCAAATCTGAGAAAAGGTCGTCATTTTGAGCATCCATAATGACGCTTAGAAAAGGAGACAGACGCATTTTCTCAGCCAATTCTTCCTTCAGAGCTCGAGCGATGTGGTGGACCAAAATCTTACAGTCACCCTCATTCATGTACTGATCTACAATTTTGAGTTCGCACTTCTTCAGTAGTTCAGCCAGAGGACGTAGGTCGGAAAAGGCCCGTCCCTCGAGAGCGAGGTGGTACGCCGCGTTGAACAGAAGCGTCATGTTCTTGCACATCTCCTCCGTCTTCTCAGGATGCATCCGCAGCTTGTAGAGCTGCAGACACTTTTTGTGGAGGTTGCTCTGGCTGTGGAGCTTGATGGTGTGGATCTTGAACTGCTTGGAGCCGATGATGAAGGCTGACGTTCGAGATGACTGGACGGTGTACTGGCGGCAGACATGGCACCACATTTCATTAAGGGTTGATGAGTACCGAAGAAACCAGAATTTCTTCAGCCATTCCTGCTTGAAGCGGCGAATTCGTCTGCTTGATCCAGAGTAAGGCTTTGATGAATCCTCTGGGGAAATCACAAGGTCGGCTGAAACCGACTCATCAGCCGAGTCCACTTCCTGCTCATCTTCATCCAGGATAATCTGGGTGGGCGTCAAGGGTTCCATCCCTGTAAACACAAACTTGTTTAACCGTTGCTGAAAAAAAAGTGTCAAGGCCAAAACACACTGGACCCGTTTTAGCATCTGATCCAACGACTCCGTATGAAACATACAAATAAAAAACAAAACACCAGATCCCAGTGCAAAACAGCACCATCTGGTGGACAAATATATTCATTGCACAATGAACACATTGAAAAATGTGTTTGTTTTTTAATTTTTTAATTGGTATTTCCAGTTAGGAAATTTATTTTTACAATTCCAATTTGCATAATTTTGTGGTTAATAGAAACTGACATACTGAGCCAGGAAGTTTCTTCTTGTCCATATCTCAGACTTGATGTTTGTAGAGAACTTTGTACGAAATCAAACTGCTGCTCAGTTATCTTCACCTCTAAAGCCTAAACTTCTTCCCACGTCTAAATAATTTGTGGCTCACCAGCTGCATCGTACAGCACATGTACATGAACCCACCTTGAGAGTCCTCAATGGGAGCCTGTTCGGGATGAGGCAGATCCGGTTGGAGTTCAGAACTTGATGGACCAACCGAGTTCCCCTGCTGTTTTCTGAGATGAGACAGCTCCTCCTCCAGCTCCAGAATCCTCCTCTTCAGTTTGACGCAGTTGGGGCAGAAGGAGGTGGACGGTCCTCCGCTGGTCAAGTTATCCTCAGCCTTCTCCACCTTTAAGTTGGGAACACTGGATCCAGACCGGGGTTTAGTGCAGTCCTCCAGAGAAGCTTCTAGAACGTCTTTGAAAATCAGGTCAATCTTCTTCTTCTTGGCAGGAGGCTGACCGTCTGGTTCTTCACAGGACTGCTTGCCGGTGCACAGTTTAGGAACTGAAAGCTCCTTATGAAAACTTTGGGGGACTGTTGACGTCTCAGGACCTGAAACAGAACCAGATCCGTTGCTTTCAGATAAAAGTCTGAAGGTCTTCAGCTGTTCATATAGGGGACAAAAGGCAAACTACAGTACATGTGGGCAGAGTGCTGTAATGGTACAAAATGGTTTGAAATACAAAAAAAAAATCGGTAAAACAGCACCATCTGGTGGACAAATACGTTCATAGGTCACAAGAGGGACCAAAGTTTCAGTTCTTATTCATCTGCTGCGTGCTTCTCCTTTGTCTAGGGCTAATCTAAAAATCAAATTAATCATCAGAATAACTGACTACTAAATTAATCATTAGCTGGAGTCCTACCTGTGTCCAGGTTGCGATTGATGCTGTCTTGAGAGACACACTGGAGTTTCTGGATGTAGTCGTCGCTGTACCAAACCCTGAGTATCTCTCCGGCCTCCAGCCTCCTGCAGACTCTGAAGTAGATGTTTCCGTTGTGCTGGAAGGCCGTCAGGTTCCTGTCACTGTCCTCAGATGAGGTACGAACAAACCTGTGGATCAGCCCAAAATGATTATTTAAGATGTAAAATGGGAGGCTTGAGTTATCAGACTCTCCTGTGGAAACAGCTCCCAGTTTTTATCCATGAGGGACAAAATCTCTAAACAATTAATCAATTAACCGCATGATAAATGAAAATAAGCTCAATAATTTCCATTCTGATAATTAATTTCCTTATCTGTAAAACCGATATTAAAACATGACATATTCTTCTTAATAAAGTTTTGTTATTTTTTATGTTGGGATTCTCATAAAGTTACTATTTAAATTACGACTTTATTCTCGTAATTTAAAAACATAAAATATTATCCTGGCCCTAATATTCTGTTGTAAAGTTGACCTGAATTCAAAGTGTAAATAAACAGAAGCTGTAAGATAAAAATAAGCTCGTTAAACAAGATGGCGGCTCTGGGCGCATTGACATCACTCTCAACTATGGAAACCCAAGGAGTGCATTTGTTAAAAAAATATAATAATAATAATAATAATAATAATAATAATAATAATAATAATAATAATAATGTTCAAAATATTAAATCTTCAAAAACCAAAAATTTCATTAATCGTCAAAATTTATTTATTGCCCAGCCCTAATATGGAGTCATTTTATAGATTCAGAGAAATGTTTACCTCATCCAGTTGGCTTTGGTCTCATCGCCGCCATCGATGGACTGAGACGAATTGTTCAAACCAACAATCTGGAACACCAAACAGCTACTTTAGGCTTTATTTTATCCTAAACTGGTCACAAACTGGAGCTAGACTGGTTTGAACTTACAATCCAGGAGAAGGAACTGGCTGGTTCCTCCTTGGACACCAGCTCACCCTGATATGGACCAAACAGCGCCCCCTTTGGGAAGTTTGCATCCACGCAGCGAACATCTACCTGGCCTCCCTCAGTGACGACTTCCAAGCCCGATGGGACCGTGAGAGCCGCCCTGTTGGCCAGTCCAGGGGCCACTGGTGAATCGGGGACGAAGAGCGGTGGCCCATGGGACGGACACTCCTCCTGGAAATACTTCTGACAGTCCTCACAGACTGGAGGACGAAAACATCATCAGAAGAAGACCCTAAACACTGAAGGGAAGAGAGGATGAAGACACTCACACCAGAGGTCCGATGGCTGTTCGTTCATGATGGAACCATGTTGGTAGAAATCCAGCTCATGGTTCAGGTGTTAGACATCTGAGGACTGCTACTGCTGCTGAAAACTGATTTTTCATCTTCATCACAGGAAACGTCTTCCTGGTTTCTGGTAGGAAACCTGAATCTGCAAATTAAGAAAATAAACACAGATGAGGAAACATTTACGAGAATGGTAAAGTGGATAAACAGCGACCCCTGCTGGTCAGATTTCAAAGATAGGTTTAGACACTACAGATAAATACACACTGTGGTCAGTAATATTGGGTTTTAGTCAGCCGGACTGATGCAATTCCTCTGGACTTCCTCCCATTAAAGTCGATTTCTCCGCGACTTTCTACGATGACGTCAATTTTCATTTCATTCGACTTTGGAAGCTCAGAAATGTTCTTGTTTTCTCTACAAAATTTCTGAGATTTTGTACAGAAAAATCTACAAAATCAACTGCAATTGCAATTTTTTAACAAAAAAAATTTTGTTTTTTTTCCCACAAAATGTTTTGACTTTTCAAGTTTAGAAATGTTGTTGTTTTTCTAAAACATTTTTAGGATTAATCTAAAAAAAAATCTGAGTTGTTTCTAACAAATCTTTGATTTTATAACCATAAATTTACTTTTCTTTATTTTTATGAAAATGTCAGACCTTTATCTAAAAATTGCCTTTTCACAATGGCCCTAGTACACAGTGGTGATTAATAATTTGAGTTATAAAGTCAGATTTATTGCTACATAAGTGCAAAAATTGCGAAAGTCCTTTTTTAAAAATTATCACAAAAATGTGATTCTGATTGCAAAAAAAAAAAAAAAACAACACAAAAACAATCACGAAATGAACGGTCTGATTAATGTGAAAAGACATTAATCATTGTTTTATTTTAAGAACTTATCTAATGCTGAAGCAGTGATTTATTAATATTTTAAGTCTGTTTAAGGGTTTTTATAGATATATTTTTGTTCAACCGGCCATTTAATGACATCCAGGATCTCAAAATGGCCCAAAATGAAAACGAGTTTTACTCCCCTGTGTGAAGCTGTGAGAGATGAAATAATCTCTGCAGCATAAAACATTCCCAAACTAAAACTTCTCTTTAACTTTGTGCGTCACCTCCGGTCAAATCCACGGACAACTGCGTACTTTGCGGCTGTGCTGAGCGCAGATCTGCGCCACTCTTTCTCCCCCCCTACACCAGAGGACCTGCAGGCTGCTGGCGATCTGCCTGCTGTTTTCGGAAGCCATTTTCGGTGGCCACTGTGGCCACAGACCCGGACCCACCTGGACCAGACACGCTGCGGGGACGCCGAGCCTCTCCCCGGGCTGAAGCTCCTCTCTGCTCCTCTTCCTCCTCCGGCCGCTGGCTCTGCGGTGGCAAAGTTTGCGTTAAATTGTTTGCACCGACTCAGTCGCCTTCTTTAGCTGTGGCCACCATTTTTATCACAGGAAATGACATGGAGAGGCGGAAGAAAGCAGCTGCGCGAATATTAAAGTTAACGGGGAGAATCCGATGCAGAGTCCGGTCGGAGAGCACCGGGCGGCGGCTGGACGAGGCTCCAACGCCCGCTGTGAATGGACATTAAACAGATTTATATCCTGCAGGTTAAATATAGACTCTAAACTGATCTGCAGCAAGAAAATTATCTGTAAATTTCCCCAAACTATGCTGAGGTTTCCTCATCATCTGGGGTAGATAAACACATCTGGATTTTTCCCTGCAGCCCTTCTATGATTTATAAAACTGAAAAGGAGCCTCTAGGTACAGTAATAAATATCCTATTTGATCATGTTAGCACTTCTGCAGGGCCGGAATTAGGAGAATGTCGGCCCCAGGGCAGAACTTGGTTTAGGGGCCCCTCAAACATAAATTTATTGTTTGCATTAAAATGATGCAAAATTGACTTTTTTAAGCTTCACATTATGTTATGATATTCCCTCATCAAAACATACCTGGAGTGTTGCCTTGATTCTTTCATGTATGTTTGAGAAAACCTCTAATCTCCATGGCAACCACTCAGCTGTGCAAAACACCTGGGTGGACCTAGCCCCGCCTTCAAGGACAAAGCTCCTCCTCAAGGAGATTAGTGTGTTTCTATAAAGGAAATTTATTTTTGTATTTCCAATTTAAGCAAACCCAGATAGTGTCACATGACCAAACTCCACATGACAAACGGCAACAAGATGGTAATAAGTATCGTTTGTTAATATTGGACCAATTTTATTTATTGGACCGATACCGATGTCAGTGCAGATATATCCTGACTCTTTGCGCCCCCTGCTGGTGTTTCAAAGGAATCATCAGTTTGATCATGTAGTAAAAGCAAAAGTGTGAGCTTGTGGTTTCTGATTGGTTTGGTTCTCTTAATTTGAACCTGGCTCACTTTGACTCATCCGAACTGATCCACAAGAACTAATCTGAGCTCAAGAACAATTTTCTTAACTCTTAGTAGTGATAAAAATCAGTAATTGGCACAAAGAGGAAGGCAACACAAATATCAACTTCATTAAGGCCTTTCTTTAATGCACTTTTAAAATAAAAAAATAAATGGTTTAGTGTCATATATACACAGCTTAACAGTTTTAACTGCCAGAGCTTAGAAATAAATTCAGGTGAAGTATCTTGAAGTAACTTGTTAAAAAAATGTCACAGGAGGTATTTCTGTTTTACTGTTACTACCATTCTTATTCTTAGTGCTCCAGAATTTATTTCTAAGCTCTGACAGTTGAATGCTTCCGTATTTCACAGATTTAGTCAGAAAATATAAACTTTCTCACCAAAACAGCAGCAGTTAACAGATTGTACTAATCTAGGATCATAACTGGAAGTGGGAAATTTATTTCCGGAACAAAACAAAAACAGTCATAAAGAAGACGAAAGTCGGGGATCCAACCGAAAAACAGCAGCAGCAGCCGTCATTGTGAGAAACGGAAGTTAGCTTTACTAGCTCGTAACACAGGCGGCTCCAATCGGAACCATTTGTTTTGCCTTTTGGATACGGTTCTTTTAATCTCCATTGATTTGATCAAAATGTATATTTCCACGGGTGCTTTAGCTTCCCGGCTAAGACGACGAGAAGCGATACCTGCTCAGCAGTATCGTAACAACCTGCTTCGGCTCCTATCGGGTTTGTTACCATGGTAACTGGCCTAGAGTTGGTGACGTTTCAAAAGTTGATCTGATCGATTTCAGGAATGTTTCTATGGTTTAAAAATAATATCTCCACATTTTTTCATACCAGATCCGATTTCACTTGATTTTTTTAATGACTGCTTTCTTTTCTAAAAAGAAGAAAAAAAAACTTACAAATGATAGAAAATATCTTTTCTTCTTTGAGTTGTACTACGAACATCAGGGCCATCTACGAGGGATTTTGTTTAATAATAATATAGTCATAATATTAGCAGAAAAAGACAAGTTTAAAAGAAACAAATTCTTAAAATGACAAAAATTAGCTTAGTTATCTGACGTGACCAATGCAGTTTGTGTTATTCTTTCTTCTTAGACTCAGTCATTGTACAATTGTTTCAAAGTCCCAACAATTTGACGCTGATGCGTTAAAAAGTGAAGTATTATCTTATCCAGTGGAGGTTTCTGATACGGGCGACATCTTGGGGGGAGCCAGGCAGGCTAAGACCGCCTCTGTTCTTATCTGCAAAACCGATGCTAAAGTATAACTTCTCAAGATACTCAACATTCGTCATTTTAACTTTTTGTTATTGTGTTGGAGTTCTCATAAAATTACAACTTTATTATGGTAGCATGACATTTTTGTATTATTTTGACTGTATTTTTGTAATATTTATTCTCATAACTAAAATAAAAATATTATAGCCTGACCTAAAATATTTTGACGTAGAATTGACCTGAATTCAAAGTCCAAATAAAGAGAAGCTGCATCTGTTAACAAACAAGATGGCGGCTCATGGCGCGCTGACGTTACTCAAAAATATGGGAATCCTACATTATGGCATTATCATAATTAAAACAAAAATAATCTTAGCCTCACACTAATATTCTGTTGTAAAGTTGACCTGAATTCAATGTCCAAATAAAAACAGAGCTGTCAAACACGCTCCTCAAACAAGATGGCGGCTCTAGGTCCGCTGACATCACTCTAGAATATGTAAACAAAGGAGTGTGTTGGTGAAAAAACACAAACATATTTTCCAAAACTTCAATCGTCAAAAGCCACCCAGCTCCAGTTTCTCTCTTTCAGAAGTTGTAGAGCCACCAGAAAGATCAGAAAGTAGCGAATCGATGGAGGCCATGTTGTTTCGGGGCGTAGACGTTTCAGGCCTCCAAAAGGTTCTGATATGACAGGAAAAACATTCACCAATGTAACGCACAACAATTGCAAACCAACGTAGGAGCCATTTTTAACACTTTGTCTATTATACTGATGAGCTTATTCAGTAAAAACTTATCGGCAGCCTTTGTTTTCGCTTCTTGTTATGATTGTGGCTCAGCGGATGGATCCGACAGATCCCACGGCTCCTCGGACGGCGGGCGGCTGCTCCACAGGAAGCGCTGCATGTTCTGCTGGTGGTAGACGGAGTTGGTGTGCTTCCTGATGTTGGACTTGGTGAAATGATCGGAGCCTTTGATCAGACGGTGGTTCTGGCAGAACGAGTCCGCATGAACTCGGCAGACGTGGCACCACATGACATTGAGCCTTGGGGAGTACCGGAGGAACGGGAAGAGCTTGAGCCACTCCTTCCTGAAGTAGTGGCGGCGGCGCTGAGGAGGACGAGGAGGGCGGGAGGTGGAAGGAGTGGCTTCAGGGTCCGGTTCACCTTGAACTGGTCCGACGTGAGCCGTTGCTGCGGAGACAGAACCATCAGAATCATGAGACTGGAACTGGAAAATGGGTTTATTACTCAAACGTGAGCCGTTTCCAGTGATCATTCATCCTTGACCCGAAAGGCACATAACTGTCTATTGTAGGGCTGGAAATAGTGTTTTAGTTATCGATTAATCAATTATTCTCACGGTTAATCGATTAATCGTATAAAATTGGTACATCCTTCACATTTTTTACTTAACTGCTTAAGAATTTTTACATAATATTAGGAATACATTAAAAAATGTTAAGAAAATAATTAAATTTCTCTTCACATGAGAAAATAAACATTTTATTGCCTTTAGTTAATGTTTTGGTCATTTGTAGCAACAGATGCATCTCCAGATAAAAAGAACTTCTAATGTGCGAGAAGTTTATCCCTTTCTGCTTAACATCAATACAGTGTAGGACTAATATGTTAATAATTTGCTGGATTAACCGATTAATAATTGGATAGAAAATCATAATGAGGTATTTGAATGGAGAATTTTGAGGAAATATTAATTTGGAATACGACTAGCTCGGCTTTTGCCACTGGATTCTCATCTCGCTTCAGAACTCCCATCTGGGATTTCTCCCATTGAGCTGGATTTCTCTGTAGAATTTTTACTGAATCAGTGAACAGAAGAGGTGGAGAATGACGACGTTAATTTTCTGCGTTGTTTTAGTATTGAACAAAAAAAACAAACTTTTTTTGTTTTTTAGAAAATATAATAATAAAGTCAGAAATTTTTCTCCAGAAAAATTAGACTTTTGCCCCTCTTTAGGTTAAAACAACAATCCAGCTATAATTATTTCAGCTCTAATCTGCTTTACGAAATGTATGCTTATTTTTGAAGAACCACCGTTTCATTTATTTTTTAGGTTTTATAATAAATATAAACAAAATATCAACAGAAACCATATGTTTAAATTAGTGTCTATTGGATGTTGATGTTTGTGCAAAATAATGTAAACAAAAACACTAAATTCCTAACAAAATGACAAGAAAGAAATATCTCGGATACTGTCATGGTCACTGTGTTGTGAAAAGTAAATGCAGGAATTATTTCATGAATAAAAAAACAAAAACAAAAAACTGTTAAAGTCTGCATTTGTTGTTGCAGGTTCTGGGAAATATTTGGTCCAGATTCTAATTCCAACAGCTGAATTAGTTTCTGCCTGTATGTTAAAATTATAAAAGAGAGAAAATAAAGACTTCCAGCTCTTCAGCTTCCTGAAACTTACCCTCACCCTCTTCCCCAGAGGTTCTGGTCTCCTCTGTGATCGCTTGCCTTGGTCTGTTCAGCACCTTGATCTTATGTTTGCTGGCGGCTTCAAACAGTTTCTCCTCCAGCTCTCGAATCCTCTGCAGCATGGTGGAGCAGTTCGCACACGCCGGTGAAGAGGAGGACGGCTTTTCCAGGGATGGAAGCTTGAAGTTCAGCTCCACTTCGTACTCTGTGGACGGCGGCCGACTCTTAGAGAGAGCTCTGGCCTGGATGGAGGCCTCCAGAGACGACTCCAGAGTGTTCCTGAAGAAGTCCTGCAAAAAATGCAGGATTAATTCTTCTCTTTCACAGAACCCCAAATATCAGTTTAAAATAGAAATGCAAATTATTAGATAATAAAGATTAGTTGCAAATCGATTAACTAATATCGTCCGCTGGGCTCTGCAACCTTTACAAACCAAAGAGACAGCAAAGTAAAACTTATTGAAAGCTGCAAATGTAACAAACACAATGCATATATATATATATATATATATATATATATATATATATATATATATATATATATAAAATATCTGCTATGGGGCTGCAATAAAGATTATTTTTGTAATTGATTGATCAATTATTTTGATGATTAATCCAATCAGATTTACATTAGATTCAGATTTTGTCCCAAATGGGCAAGAATGTTTAATGTATAGTAAATTAAAAAAGCAATTAAATAATTCAATTATTTTTTTAAAATAAGAAAATAAAACATTTTATAGCCTAAAATGCAATAACGTAGTGTTACTTTAGTAAATCTGAATAAGATGGAGTAAAACTATTCCACTTGAGGAGCTTTGGCTAAAACATATTTATTTATAGAGAAAGGAGTTTTTATCTTAAAGGCAGAATGTATACTGTTTGCTGGTTTACACAGTTCTGGTTTAATAACTGCTTTCAATATGCTTTTTCAGCAAATTAATTGTTTCAGCCCCAATCTGCTCTATGAAATTTGTGCTTATTTTGAAAGAATCACCATTTTATTTATTTTTTTAAGTTTTAAAATAAATAAAAACATATGATATTTACAAAAACAAGATGGATACATTAACATCAAACGTCTGCCGTACCCGGAAGCCGGAGTCGGTCCTCGTCTCAGCGCCTTGGTTCTGCTCATCGTCTCCCTGCTGCTGACTGATGACGGTTTTACCCCCCAGAAGAGACTGCAGAGCAGATTTCACTTCGTTCCAAGCAGGCGGAGGAGGCTTCCTGGCTTCAGCAGCACCATCTGCTCCTGAACGCAGAGGGACGACATTCAGTCAACGCAGCCGACTAACAGGACATTTTAGAGCATTTGCTGCTTACTTCTGCTGACGACTTTTACTTCAACCTAGTAGTTAATTGATTATTGAAATAATCAACTAATTTAGTAAACAATTAATAGATAACTGGAGCATAGAGATTCAAAAAGTGCCTTTTGCTAAAACATCTTCAAAGTAGTGATTAAGCCAAAACTGTACAAAAAATGTATACATTTTGAATTTACGATAAAAAAAACCATTCTTCTGAAAATACTTTATACCCAGAACTCAAATGGTAAAGCTTTAGCTTGACCCAGTTCAGATTCTGTAAAAAACAAAACAAAACCAAAAAATCTACTGAGCACCTTTTGCTATCCACTTATTGATTAATCCAATCTACAACCCTATACTGTGTTGATATCAAGTGAAGCAGAAAGGGCTTTCTTATTCAAAAAATGAAATTATTGTGTTTTTTACATCTTTTGATGCCATGAATACTGTATAAAAAAGACTTGGGTTGTTAAATGAAGACTCTTCAGAACAGGCCAATTTTTTTATCCGATTAATCGTCAGAATATATAATTGATAGATCAATCAATTACTAAAATAATCAGTTGTTGTTGCAGCCCTATAATGACGTTTATTATTTTACATGAAGCCAAATTTGAGCAACATTGTGGTTTAATTTCTAACCATCAGAACTTTGAGCTCCGATTATTGGTTTTTACAACAATATACGATCTAGAAAATATAATCTTTGTATTTTTACAAAGACAGAGGTGTACCACAGAGCTGTGTACAGGGACCTCTGTTGTTTTAATTGGGAACGTTCCCACTAAGCAATGCTCTGTGCAGGAACTGAAAATAATCAGTTCATACACAGATCAGGCAAAACATTATGACCCCCAGAACTTGGATTTGGTCTGACCTACGCACCCCTTTCTCAACAAAAAAGCTTTCACATGCGTCAAACTCACTGTTTGTGATGCATGTTTGAGCGCACATTAAAAAATGTTTAAAACAAATCTTTGAGACCCACCTTCTACTGGTTTCTCAGCAGAAGACAACCTTCTTCTTTTATTCCAGGACTTTTCTTCACATTCATCATCATTACCATCATGGCCCAGATGGAGAGACGGCACCCAGTCTGGATCTGAGTCCAGCATCTCATATGCTGGTTTTCCTATAAAAGGACAATGAATAAAAAAAAGTTTCCCCAAGCTTTTTTACAAAGAGTGGCTCATCAGAAAGTGCTCCCATTTCTATGCATTAACACGTTTTTTTCTGTCCATATGCATCTAAATATCCAAAATAAGCATTCCTAATGCATAAAAAGGTTATTGTTATTTCTTTTTTACAATAAAAATAGCTTTCATGTGGGGTTTCTCCCCAGAAATGGGAAGAAGGTAAACGGCGGCAAAGTTGGTAACAATGTTGCCTTGCAACAAGGTATTTTTTTACCTTTACATGAACCGAATATCTTTTACAAATTTAAAATCGCCCTGCACCATTATCAGTTTTTTATTAGCATTAGATAATAAATTATAATATTACCACAGAGAAACTATCTCTAGTACGAAACGATTTGAAGATAAACTTATATGGCATTAAAAGCGACTATATGAAAATAGAGTCGCCCTGACCAATATGGCGGCTGTGCCGTGATTAGCATTGATGCTAACATGTCTCTGGATCCTCTTCGCGCTGAGTAGAGAAATAAAACCTGTTTGGACTCACCAGAGACAAAGTGTCTGGAGCAGACTCTCATGGAGGACGGGATGCTGTCGAAGGTGATTTCTCTGCGGCCCACGGCGGTCACCCAAGCTTCTCTCCGCCGCCTCGTTAACTCCGATATAAGTTCGCCTTCCTTCGTTCTCCATGCAGGGAAGCAGTGGAAGCTCAGGCCGTTCAGGAGCATTCTGCCCTGGTGGTCGTGGGAGCTGCTCCCACAGTTATTCACGCAACATTCTCTGCCCCCCATTTCTGGCGTGGAACAAAACACGCAGGAAACAGCTGAGAGTTCCACCAATACTGCCGCGTTTTAACCCCGACGACGTTCACGCACTGCAATACCCACAAGCCACAAGTATGTGACGTCACTTTAAGGATAAATAAATGGTTTTTAAAGTGGAAAATGTAAACATTTTTAGTTATTAAAAATTAGATTCAGAAAATGTATTTTAAAAAATAAATAAATATAGTTTTCCTCACCTTCTAATTGTCTATTTTCAGGGACTGGTGAGCTTTCATCAGAGAGATCACCTTCTAGACTGTTTATTTCTTTTTCAATGGCAGTGTAGGGAAGCTTTCCTGCCGTACAAGATTGAAAAATATAATTTAAGAGAAGTAAAGTTATGTTGCTACACACTCGTGAACAGTAGGTGGCGGTATGCACCTTAAAGTTGCTTGCGATCCACCATAATAGAAAAGAAGAAGAAGCTTCCCTGCCGTAGCTCTTCCCTTTTGCTGTCGTGATGCTTCTGTTTTTGGCCTCTTGTTTCTTTCTGTTAGAACGGCTGTAACAACCTTGCAAAACACAGATTTTAGGCATTTTGAAGGTGGATCAACAGAAGTAAACAGGATGCATTTACTTCCTGACCTCCATCTGCATTGCATGACGTCAGTACTATGTCATCTACAACCCAATACCCACTAAATTCTAGAAATACAAAAATTATTTCTATAATCAAAACGTTTTATTTTGTATTTATAATAATGTAGTTATATGTCCATTTATCCCACTGTTCTCACTTGTATTTTTAAATGTAAACAAAACAAATAACTATTTGATAAATAAATAAATGACAAAATGGTCACAGGTTTATATTTCGGACGTGTAGATGTGAAACAGTAAAGTTTCTGTTACAATTTCAGTTATGTGAAACATTTTTGTGGTTTAATTTCCTATTCCTTTCTTTATGTTGAGGAAATTTATATTTCATCAAAATTAAATCTTAAAAACTAAATAACTCCATTATAAATCATAAACTTTATGATATTTTATTCACTTAAGTGAGTTGTGTAGCGTATTTACCTTTTGAAATTTAATTTACTTGAATTAATTTAAGTTACCAAATTGCTTATTGAACTATATAATTTTAGTTTCATTCAGAGGAGCTGAAATCACTAAGCAGAGTTGAATTCAACACTTATGGTATATTTTATAGATAAAAAGAGCAGTTAACTGTAGAGACATTTAACTAACAAACCACTTTTGTTCTGAATATAATGTAAATGTAATTCATGTTCAAGCATTTCATAAACCTCTCAGTATTTTACGGTAATTGGAAACTAATTAAACACAATTTGGCATTGTGTTTAATCTTCTACTCATAAAATGTAATCCTAAATTTTCCACACACACAAAAAAAAAAAAATTCATAGCAGAGGATGGTTTCGATCCATCGACCTCTGGGTTATGGGCCCAGCACGCTTCCGCTGCGCCACTCTGCTGCGGTGTCATTGCGTCAACATGTCGCTACTTAATACGTGATCACCCATGATGTGATTTTACCAAGATTAACGCGCTTTTGTTTGTAGTGTTTATCAAACTGTCAGCGCCAGTTCAAATATTCAATAGAGGACAAAAATACGCGCTACTATGGGTTGTTATTTTTATTTCTATGTATGTTTTTATGTGTTTTCCGGCCCCGCCCACACATGATAACATCTAGCGTTCAGGTCGAAAGTGAAAAATATCCAGTATTTCAAAGTCATACACAATTTACAAATACACTAATACAAAGTGTATTAGTGAGCGAAAGAAACACGTCAAAACAAAATCAGAAATATTTAGTTTGCACTCCACTGACGATTTCCTTTTCGATTTCTGACGTTTCTGTTTTATTTTTTAAATTAACCTTCATTTAATTAGATAAGAATTCATAGAGTCCAATAAAGGTCTCTTTTAAGAGGGTGATCTGGCCAAGAGGTTAATTAAAATAAAACAGTAATTTTGATAAAGCAGAACAGTAGTGAACATAAAATGAAGATAAAGTACAATAATTATAAATAATAAAAGATCATAAAAAGTGGTATCCCTACTATATATTTTGTAGTTTTAGTTTTTCTTATTCCTCTCATTTTGGTTTATGAATGTAACTAGTTTTAACTATTAAGTATTTTTGTTTATAAACTTTTATATTTTGTGTTTATTCTGGATTTGTGCAGAACTTACTATTTGAGAACAAATTCACTTAATTTATTGTTCAATACATACAATAAAAACTGACAGAGACTAAGAGTTATTTGGCTATTATTTCCTAATATCGTTCCACATATTAAACAGACAGAGAGCTAATTTAAATTTATTTTTCTTAATTCATGCTATAATCAAGGTAAGTGTTACCTAAAGGTGGATTGAAAAATAAATAATTTCAGAAGATGATTTTTTTGTTTTTCACAATTTATTTTAACAAAATGATAAAATAAATAAATACAAATTGATCAAATGCTCCTAATATCAACTCCTCCCCATGTTCCCTACAGTATTTCCTAAACACTGCATACAAAGAATTCATCACAGAAGAGGCTCAATACAGAGGTAAGAATCCCACCAGACCAGTCACAATGTCAGGCCAACAGAAGACACATCTGGAACAGAAGTCAAAAAAATAAACACATTCCTTTCCAAAATCATTATGAAAAAATACAAACAATTATACAAATATTCAGATTGTGTAATAACCAATTTACACATTATTCAGCACACCAGGTGAACGTTTTCTTTATTCTGATCGCTACAATGCATCTCACCAAATGGAAGATAGAAAAAGACTTCTTTTCATTTTTTAGATTCTTTTTTTTGTATTTTATTTTTTTTTTGTAGTATTTTTCAGATTTTTTGCACTCAACACACCCCCGATGGACTCAGCTGTGGATGAGGTAAGAAGCTGCAGGTGTAGAGGATCCAGACGGGATAAATGGGTGGATGGATGGATGCTGAGCGGGAACAACAGGTGAATGACGTCATGAACCCACAGAATACTAGAAGGCCACAATCATGACTTGATCGCTTTAAAACCGAAAGATGAAAAGCAAACCTCCTCCCCAGGACCCACGCGGAAGCCCCACAAACCGTCGATGGACGACGCAGAAAACTCACACCACGATGATATGCAGAGTTCTTTGGATATATTTGCTTCCAGACTTCAATTAAGGAGCATTTTAGATCTCAACGCCCCGTTTCCACCCAGCAACGGCAGAGTTAAATAAAAGCTAAGCTAAAAGGAGAGCCGAGATGGCGCCAAACTCTCGCTCCACTCCGCCCCCCGGTGGTCACTCGCAGTACTGCAACAGAATCCCTCCCCCCATAATAAAAGCAAACCTCTCGGCACTGTCCGGGAAAACCCACCCTGAATGGCTACCTGAATGTGTAAACACATGCACACGTTTGGCATCGAGATGCCAGAATGTTCAGAGAAAAACAGAAAAAAAGGTGACTTAAGTTTCACATAAAAACAAAAAAACCGAAGCAATGCATAATAAAAAAGGTTGGTATAAAAACTTGCATAAGAAGGCATGTGCTGCACCACAGCGAGCACAGGTCATGCTGGCTGGGCTCAGGTTTGTTCATCCGAAATGCATTCCGGGTCATGTGACCTGATCCTGCAAACTCATCCCTCCTCCAAAATAAGAGACGGGAAGAAAGAGGGCGGGGGGGCTTTTCAGAATAAAACATAACCCATCTCTGATAATACTGATCAAACTAAAAGTGCATGACAAACGGATCAGAGTGAGATGTCAGACTGCCTCTGCACAAACCCCACCCCCTATGACCCGAAATCTGAACATTTCACCAGAAAATAAAATACATATAAGGCAACTTCTAGGGATGGACAACAGAACACTATGTGGTCAAATCAAACGTGTTGGTGTGAAGTGACGAGCTTGCATCGACTCCTGGCAGCCTGCGGAGTGGGGCGCAGCTTCCTCTGGGGCGGGGCTATTGTGGACAGGGCTCGGTGTCAGGTGGGGGGCGATCCCGGAGGATTTTGTTAAGTTTTACGAGTCACAGTGCAAGTCAAGAGACAAGTATTATCTGCTGTTTGAAGAAAGGCACTCAGAGGTACCTACTGTACAGAGGGAAGGATCCAGAGACCTGATGACCGATAGGATCTACGGGTCGGAATGAGAATCACGTCCACCCAATGGAGATTTAAACATGACAAGTGGGACCCAAAAGGAAGCGGGGACACTTGGGTTTCCTGTCTGGGTCATCCCCGTCAGATCAGCTGAACTCTACAGGACACACCCAACACACACACACACACCCTCCACACACACATATTTCTCTGGGGTGTTTGGAATGAAGGCAGTCTGTGCAGCTGATGGGAGAAAACCAGGTGCCATTGGGATATGCCGATTCACTCACAAGAGTCTGCATGATATGAATTTAAATAAAAAGTAAGACGCCCGCAACAGAACACCACCCAAACAAGAGCTCACACCCACCATCATGAGAGGAAACGGGTCTTTTCTGGGAGAGCAGCAATCCAAGAAGTGTTGGGATATTTGTCTGTTGAGCTTAGAGGTGGGGTCTCTAGCGCCCCGCTTTCATTGGGCGGTATGGTATTGGTCAGTACGGTCCAGTATGCCATTTTATTGTCTTGTTTATCCATGATGGAGAGTGTTTCCAACACCAGCTGGACTCTCACTGGGCAGAGAAAGTTAAATCCAACTGCCCAACGTTGAGAACTAGTATGTCTCGAGCAATGATGTTTTTTCTGTCCCCCAATCAATGGACTGTATCACACCAGTAGCTCCACCATAACAGTGTCATTGTCCCATATACCTTCAACTGAAGGGAGTCCAGGAATGGTGCAGTACGGACTGATTTTATGGGCTGCTTTTTCATTGGAAACAGAAAAAAAGCATACCAAACTGCACCACTATGTGGTAACGATTTATAACTTCAGTCCTCAACTTCAACTTCATATGCATCCCTTCTCCAAGACACCAAAATCAAACAAATGACTTGTTACTAGGCCTCTGCAGTACTTTATGACTAGCTAAGAAAGTAATTCAGGTGTGTTGGAGCAGGGATGCCTCTTTTGCCTTGTTTACACTGAGGCATGATCACCAGATATATTCAAGAGCGTTCCCTCCACAAGTTGGACTCTCACCAGACAGGTGGGATCAAACAGAAATGTCTAATACTGCCTCATACAAGTGCAATGACAAATGTGATTAGCTAGTATTTCTCGTGTCCCCCAAACAATGGACCGGCATTCTCAAGGGATTGTTTCCATTGCCAATTGGACTCACCCTGGACTGGCAGGGTTAAACCCTAAACACAATATTACAAGGCAACAACAAATATGACTTACTAGTAAGTCTCATGCTTATCACATATCCTCCAAATGGACTGTGGTGTGACACAATTATCTCTGCCCTATTGTCCCATAGACCTACAACTGAAGGGAGCCTAGGAATGTTGTGGTACAAGTCGGTTCAAACAGACCAAATAGTGTCCCTAACCACACCACTCAATGGAAACAAGGCGTATCTCCAGTCCTCAAGTTCGACTTTAGATGCATCCCTGCTCTAAGACACCAGAAACAGACAAATGTCTCGTTAACTCGAGGTACAAAGTACCATAGCAGTACTTTATGACAAGGTAAGGAGGCAATTCAGGCGTGTTGGAGCAGGGATGGATCCAAGTTACAGCAGGACAGTAGCTCTTGTGGACTTGAGTTGGCGATATATACTTCTGGACTGATTTTGTGTAACAAAAAGAATTTTCAGAGGAAATTCTCCTAAAAAAACGTCTGAAACATTTCCTCGCATTCAGGAAGGAGTGAGCACATCGGAGAACCAAAGGAACCCCAAGTAAAACTAAAGTCTCCAGCATAAATGGAGGCAACTTTAATCTCTATTCACCTCGTCAATGTTCCAATCAGTTGCTCCGATAACCATCGGCTTCATGTTCCGGCTCCAAGCCTGACTCAGTGGGACAAACTCCTAATCAGACTCCAGCCTCAGAGTCACACCGAGGGGAAATATTGGCAATGTAAGGGGAAGTCACACGACAATGAAGAGATGCATACTCTGTTTAACTCCACGGGAACGTACAAAAAGCTCTTCAGCACTTCTTTGTAATGCAGCAAGCTTGTGCTTTAATCTCAGGAATTGTGTGGTCGTCCTTTAACCTCCAACAGATCCCTCCGTTTCTCCGGACGGGAACCCGTCCTGCTGTGGTTATTGTTCCCAACGCTCTCCTGTCTCGGCCGGGACTTTGCATCTGAATCTTTCCGATGATTTGATCTTCGAGGACAGTAAGAGGACAAGTCCCTGCTGAATTTGGAAACATCATCAGGATTTTGGCAGTTCAGGATTCAAACGATCACCACCACCCAGCGGCGGCAGCGGCGATGACGACGACGACGGCAATGGTGATGATGATGATGCCAGTCCAGCAGGTTCAGGAACAGAAAGCACTTATTCTGGAGACTAGGAAGACCTGAATATCTTTTCCTATAAAAAACAAACAGCCCAGATAGAGTTTGTGTGTGTTGACGTTGCAATATTGCAAATTCACATTTAGTGCTCACAGTTGACACACACACATGCTCACGCACACACACACACACACGCTCATACACACGACTCACGAATGAAAACTCAATCACTACACTGACCGACACCACTGAAAACATCTGTTAGGCTTCCGCTCCTGTTCGTCCTCATCCCGGGACCAAATCGGGGTTCAACCCAGAGTCCATCAGGGAACAACAGTCTACCAGAGGGCTGCACCCAGCCTTCATTGGGAGACCCTGGTACAAAACCTAGGACTGCAAGGAAGGTGATGATGGTGGGTGATAGGGTCAACAGAGTTGGACTATTTTTGGATTAATTTGAAGTTTCAAAGGCTTCAGTATGACTCAAAGGAACTTTGCGACTCAGTGCGAGTTCACTTTTAAAGGAAATCCAGTTCTGGATCTACATTAGACTTTCCTTCACTGGTTGGTGGGACCTTTGGGGGCCCTGAAATGTTCTCTGAACTTTTTGACAAGGTGAAATCCCCTATAAAGAGGAAGTAACTCAACAAACTGTGCTCAAGTCAAAACTTAAGCTGAAGATAAAAGTTTGGAAATATATGGTTTGGACTTCCTGCACTAGTAATGTCCTGGGGATCAAAACTAGCAAATTTAAACTACTGGCTGGCCACAAAATTCATTAAATTTAAAATACAAAAACTAGTTTATAGCAACTTTATTTAGTTTTACCTACAAAAAATAAATAACACTTTAATTAAATCTATATAATATTAAAAATCCAAAACATAAAATAGGTTTTGAACCAGTTTCTTATTAAAAGAAGAACTGACAAATGCCAATTTGTTTGGCTCATCAATTGTTTTCTATTTTGTAGGCCAGATTTTTTACCATTCTTGACTTGAAGTCAAGGGGCAGACAAAATAATATCAAGAGCCACAAATGGCACCCTGGCCACATTTTGGACATCCTTGAGTTAAGTAATCCAATAAGGCATTTGACTTCGGTTTTTAAATTCATGATCAGTCCCAACACTTTTCTAAAGATCTACAAAAGGCTGGAGTGGCTTCATGTGTTTGACTCATTTAGTTTTTCATATAAAACCAAAAAGTAAAATGTTTGCAACTCCTCCTGAACTAAAGGGTGTGTCATAACTTTTCACCTAATCAAATTTAAACTGAGCTGATGCAGAATATGGGCGGAGTCTGACTGAAAAGTGGGTGGGGCCTGGTGAGAGCAGACTAGAGAAGTAATGGGTGACAAACATCAAGTTTTGAAAACACACTTCATGGTCACATTTGCTTCATCAAATTTGTTTTGTGATGACAGCTTGAATCAAACTGAAGCCTTCGGGTTGGAACGGTCCTGACTGGGTTCTGGTTTGGTTTCAGGTGAGGAAATTAATCGAGAACTCAGACTGTTGAGCGCCGTTCCCATCAGGGTCGCCGGGACGAGGACGCGAACAGGTTCTCTTTTCAGTACACAAACGTTTACAACACTGCTTCTTGGACCAGCTCCCCCCGACAGATGTTTGGTTCCATGTTCTGGGTTCTCCTTGGAGCCGTCAACAGAACACAGGGGCCACTGTAACAGGCACACACCGGTGTGATGATGAAGAAAATCTTCCTTTGAGTGTTCCCTCCATGACGTCTATCACTAATTGGCATGATGACCCGGGTCTTCCCAGAGTCACGTGACTTGGGCTGTACATCTACCATTGACACAGTCTGACAATACAATGCAAACAAACAACATTTATACAGATTGGCAACTTCAGGGCACCGTGCGGTGCAAGCAAAGGTCTTTTTTTTCTTTTTTTAATATATATGTTTGACTTCCTGCAGCCACAAGGACACAGCGTTACTTTTTATCGTCCAAACTGCTAAGCAGAGCTGGCAAAGAATGCTGGGAGGGTTCTGAGGTTTTGCTGTTGTTGCTGCCGTCGCTGAGCTCCTCCTGCTTCTTCTCCACCGCCGTCTCTGCAGGGTTCACAGCAGATATCTTGTTCTCAGTGGCGGCGGCAGGGCTGTGGGCAGGGCATGGCGGCGGCTCCGTCGTACCGTTGGTGGTGGCAACCTTTGCAGGAGCCGCAGGAGCTGCCTCAGTCTCAGGCTTGGGCTGAACCTCCACACAAGGAGTGGTCTCTGTGTGACCCCCTAACCCCGGCGCAACCCCTGCCCCAGCAGCGGGGCAGTTAGTCAGCACTGTGCTGTTGCCGCCGTCTCCTCCTCCTGCTCCTCCTCCTCCCCCTCCTGCTGCTGCTGCTCCTTCTGTCTGCTGCTCCTCCTGTTTGCTGCTGACCAGAGAGCTGCTCACCACCGGCTTCCCCGTCGCACCGACTTCAGCTGCAGCTCCAGAGCCGACAACGACCCGAGCGCCGTCCTGCACCCGGACGTCCTTTCCCTCCGTCTCCGCCAGGGCCTGGTTGAAGTTGAAGGCTTGGATGAGGCGAATGAGATGCTTGACTTTGTCCAGGGAAAGCTGCATCTCCTTCTGACGAGCCAGGATGGTGTTTTTGGTCTCCATGCACTTCTGCAGAAAGAAACAGCAGAATCAGATCAGACAAGCAAAAATTTGTTGACAAAATTAAGAGGAAATGTAGCAGAAATGTATCATCGGATGTTATCACCTCTATAAAACAAGGAGTTTTAGTGACTAGTACAAATTCCACTAACAGATTTTTTTTTTTCCCACTTATGAGAAAAATGTCTTATTATAAGTGCAAGTGATACTGGAATATATTTTTTCATTTAAATTCAAGAGTTATTGACTTAAGCTTAGATATCTTATTGAAAAGCTGCCGTTTCTCACCGTTATGGAGTTACTGAGCTGCTTGACTCTCTGTTCTAGCTGCTCGCGCTCCAGTTTCAGCTCCGAGCTCCACTTCATCAGCTTCTGCTTCTCCTCTTCTTTAGCTGAAACACAGAACAGAGTCGGCAGTTTAGCAACAGTTAAGCAAATAAAAATTATTTTAATAACTGGAACTTGTGTAAAATGAGAGAAATTTAATCGGATTTAACTTCAGACAATGACAAAAAAAATGTCTGTCTTATTATTAACTTTAAAGGTGACCGGTTTATGATTCCTTGAACAAGTTGGGATAGGTTGACAAGCTACACAAAACATGTTCATTAAATTTTTTGCACAAAATCATTCTTAAGATTTTAGTCTGCTCAGTTCTGCCTCGGCTGTCTAAGGGCCTTTTGCTGGTTTAAATTCAAATTCAAACTGCTGCTGGCCTCAACATTGACTCAACACTTAAACTCGCACATTAAACTGGCTACAAACAGATACGCAAATATACAACCATGCATCTTTGAAAAGAAGAAGTAGAGCCTCCTGCAAAAGCAACAAGAATGCATCAATTGGTTTCTGGATGCTAGGTAGGGCTGCACCGAGCCACTTTGTTCATTTCCGATACTGATATAGATATTTGAGGTTTATATTGGTTGATTCTGACCCGAGACAGAAAAAAACAAACAGTGCTGAATTGACTTAAAATGTTTCTTTAAAAAAAAAAAAAAAAAAAAAAAAAAAAAACCGAAAAAAATTTTTTTTTTTCCCTTTTTTTTTTATTTTTTTCCCAAAAAAAAACCCATAA